TGATGATTTTTAAAACACTAAATTTTTTATTGCACTGAAGGGAAGTACAAAATTACTAAAATATCTTTTATAGGGTATTTTCGTAATTTAGACTTCCCGAGCTTGAATTTTCATAAAATTTTTCATATCTTAATTTCATAATATTTCATAATTTTTTGTGCATTTCAAATCACAATAGTACATAAGAAGTGTGAAATAACCAAAATACCCCTGTAAGGGTATTTCATAATTTGGCTTTCCCGACCTTGGATTTTTATGAAACTTTTCAAATCTCAATTTTATAATATTTCATGATTTTTGATTTTTTAAAATCTCAAAAATGAGCATGAAAACATTGATTTCCAAAAAATGGCTTATGTACCGAAAAACTTTGCACTAAGGGTAAAATAGTCTTTTCATAAATTTAGAGGCTATAAAAATCTAATTTTTGCAATGAATAATGTGGACCATTAGATCTCTTATTGAATCTTGATCCAATGACTAAAGGTTACCCCTTGAAAAAAAAAAAAGAAAAAAATTTTGGCCGTTGAATGAGATTAAATCCAATGGTCTATACTCATTAAGAAAAGAGATATTTTGAAAGGTCTTATTCTTTCAAAGAGAGAAGAGGCTGCCAAAAAAAAAAAGATGGAGAGGAGTCTGCCAAAAAAAAAGAGGAGAGAAAAGGTAACTTATTTTATCTTTTTTTTAGTTTGTTTTCATGCTTGTGGATGTTGTCATTTCCATTAACAAAGTTCCTTTTTCTTTTATGTTTGCTAACTTCGTTAGGTGTATAACATGTAAGTAGAAATAAAGATTCATCTTTTACACACTCATCTCTTTTGCATGGTGGTTATTAATCAGTTATCAAGCTAGATTACTACTATTATAAGACCTTTATCATGAATTACCATAAAAGTTTAAAGCTTTTAAGGCATTTTCTTGTCTTGCTTTCTATGTGCTTACTTCATGCCTACTACTACAAGTTCCTAAGTGATCATTCATGACAAAGAAAGTCTAAAGGCTAAACCTTTATCCCAAGGCCCCTATCATGCATTTTTTTTAATTTTAAATTTAATAAAGGTTGTAGGAAAAACCATTATCTATCAATGGCAGCCATGGTATAGGTGGCAAAGGAGTCTTGGCGTGAGGCCATGATGGTTAGATTGTTTTAGGATATATAATCTATTGTCTACCTTGTTTGTACATGATAAAACTAGAATAAAACATAAAAGACAAAAGAGTGGGACCGTGTTCTTGTATTCTTTTTGTTTGATGGAGTAAGTCTAGACTTGTAGTTGGAGTTTAATAGCATTTTGTCAAGATTGAAGCTTTAAGACGTGAGGGAAAGGAGACCATCTGTGTATATATTTTGTTGTTGACTTTGAATAGACTAGGATGTTTTTGTTGAAATCCTCTAAATGAAATTTTTTTTTTATAAGACATAAAATTAGTTTCTAATAAAGATTCATTTTTATGTATATTTAAGTTTAATCATGCTTATATGTATTTTTTTATGTTGTTGTCAATTTAATTTTATACATTTTTAGTTACTTTATTAGTTGGATTTTATGTTTATTTTAATTTAATCTTTCATATTTTAATATATGTTTGACGCATTTTATTTTAGATATATGCAAAATAATATCATCATATGAATGAAATTTTCCAATGATGACATTTTAAGGAAGTTTGAGTAGTGATTTCTTAAAATCTCTAGATAAAGATATTTTTCTAAAAATACTACTAAAGTAATGAAGTATTTAGAAAAATATTCAATGCAAAAAAAATTTAATTTGTCTATTTTTATAAAATTTTGATAGTGCTAATAATAATGTACAATGACTTTTTTAGGAATGAATTTTACATAATTAACTATTTTCTAAAAATTAAAGTTTAAAAATTAGATTAAAAAATAAAATTAATTAAGTAAGAAAGGAAAAAGTCAATGAAATTTTTGAGAATAGGATTATAAGAAAGATCGAATAGAGATTCTTAAAAAATTCATATGTGAAAAAATTCATCTAAAATATTATCAAAGTATCGGAGTATCTAAAAAAATTTTCAATAAAAGATTTTATTTACTTTGTTCTTTTTTTTAAAAAAATCTTAATGGTAATTGTGAAATAATTAAAGAGATTAAAGCAAATCGAATTAAAATGAATAACAAAATGTATAACATAATAATAAGTGTTATATTTTTCATATGCATATTCTACTTTATTGTTTGCATTACATAGTTTTAAATGCAAACAAAATTTTTTATGATGAAATTTCGAAAAGTCCAAGTAGTGATTCCCGAGAATTCTTTAGGTGAGAAAATATTTCTAAAAATTACTAAAGTATTGAAATATTTAAAAACTCTTTTCGATACAAATTTTTTAAATTAATATGAACAATTCTCTTTAAAAGGTAAAAAATATAAATATTTATAAAAGCATGCATTTTTTTACTAATAAAATTAAGTAATGAGAATTTCCAATGTTGGGACTCTGCGAAATTCGAATAGTGATTCCTGAAAATTTTTTAGGTGAATAAAGCCTTCTAAAATTTAACAAAGAATTGAAATATTTAGAAATTTCTTTTCAATACAAAAAATTTCCATTCTATAATTATTTTTTAATTTGAATAGTTTTTTTAATAAATAAGAGTTTATTTTTTTGGAAATAAATGTATTTGTAAATAATTATATTATTACGTGACTTTTAATAATTTTTAAAAACAAACGAAAAATCTTCGAGGATGAAATCTTAAAGAAATTCGAATAGTAATTCTTTAAGAATTCTTGGTAAGAAAATTTATCTAAAATACTATCAATATATTAGAGCATTTAAATTATTTTTCGATAAAGATTTCTCTTTTTTTTAAATGGTATAGAAATGAGTTTTCAAAAATACTATTTGTTTTTAAAATTATAGATATCGTATTTTATGTTTTTTTAATATAAATACTGAAAATAAATATAAACCACCAAAGATAAAATTTTTAAGAATTTTAAGTAACGATTCTTAAAAATTTCTTAGATGAGATAGTTCCTTTTAATATTGTTAGAGTATTAGAATATATTTAGAAAATTTTCAATATAAAGTTCTTATTTATTTTTCAAGCTTGTTAAAAATTAAAAATATGTTTTTAAAGAAAATTAAGGAAATTAAATTTCTAAATACCAAAATTAAGATGTTTTTTAATAAAAATTAAATGATAACATAGAATTAATTGGTATCATTTTAAATAGGTATTGTAGAGGTGCTAATATTTTCCTATGCATAATCGATTCTCGAATCGAAATTATTTTTTTGCAAACCCAAAAATTATTTTCTTAATAAATTTTAAATTTTTATTAAGAAGTTAAGTTGTAATAAATGATCAATCCCACATAACCAAAAAAATTGTTGACGATTTCGTAATTTGTTTTCAAATTCATCTAGTAGTTCCAAAAATTGATAATTACAATTAATGAAGCTTAATTTGAAATTATATGTATATTAATGTCATTCGTCCAAAGTCACCGGTCAAGACGTTAAAAACTTGGAAATAACGTATAATGTATGGCAACAACACAATTGGTTCAAATCAGAAAATGAGGAGACCGCGTACTTGTATATGTTTATAATACAATCTTTAACAACAAAGAAGTATTAATATAACTGATTTTTTTAGGACTCAAGCATTTTCCTCTTCAAGTCATGCTCAGAGATATATATAAGGGAATAAGGGTAAATTTGACGCCATAATATGATCAATATTGAATTTTGTAGTATTATTTTTAATTTTGGTGATTTTTGAATAAAAATTAACAAAATTAAAATATTTGATAAAATATTCTTTAATGCAATTGGTAAATTTCATTATCTTACTTTTAATTACATGGATTTTGAATAAAAAGTAACAAAATGTTTCAAAAATCAATAAAATTAAACGTACAAGGATAAATTTTAACAAAATTAATGTGTAATTGTGTAGTGACTAAATCCAATATTGATCTATAATAAAGTGACAAATTTATTTTTAACTTCGATATATGATCTAATTAAGCAGCTTGTGAATGATTCCATAAAAGTACGTACAATATCATTCAATTGGAAGGTTTCAATGCATGTGCAATTGGGAGATTTTGCAATTAAGGGGGTTGGCCGAAATTTATTGTCGATGGTTCTACAACTTGAAGAATGCCACGACTTGGATATTATGAAATCAAGTTGAGAAACTCTAATAAATGCATATTTCATGCCTTTGTTATAGTAAACTTGGATAATGATTTTTCAGTAATATTTATGATTTTATTAAAATTCTGTTAATTTTTTTGTTTGCAAAAAATGGATTGACACAAAAATAAATAAAAACATCTATCAACCAAAGCTTAGCATGACATGATTCAGTTTTCTTTTTACCTTTGATAAAACATTTTAATATCAACATAACTAAAAATTTTGTTCTCGTCAATGAGACATTGATATTGTGATAAAGAAAATATTTTAAAATTTTAAAGTCTTAAGTTTAAGTTTTACTGTATATGGATTTAATTATTAAATTCTAATTTAATAATTAATTATTTAATAATTTATAAAATTATTTAGTGACATAATAATTAATCATATAACTAAAAATTTTGTTCTTCGTCAAGTGCCATGAATAATTTAACAATATCATAACTTAGCTCAAACTTTTTTTATTGTTTTTATTTAATTTTTTTTAAAAATAAAGGTATAATATATAATTTTTATATAAAATATAATATAAATATAAAAATTATTAATATTTCATGCCACAATAGTACACAAATTGTTAACTTTTCTCTTTCAATGTCATGACTTCTTGTCAAATATTGCGTGCCCAAATAAGTTTCTAAACAAATACCGTAGATAGGTTCAGGTTGACTACAAATCAAAAACTGCCGCGTGGATAAGGTCCACACGGTATTCGTAGTTTCCTCGCAACCTCTAGGACGTGAAGGACACGCTCGAAGACTTTAATGGTTCCAATCCCTGTTGACTTGACTTATGTATATGCCACTATGCTTCCTTTTTTACTTGAGATATATTCATCCAAATCCCAACCCAAAAAAGATCGTCTTTTGCATCAATTAATCCATTGATTTTGCATTATTATAGTTTTTGCAACAGTTTGTATTTTGTATTTTATACAGTAGTGCTATAGCCATGGATTCCCTTAACCCAAATGGCTATGAAAAATTCTCAGCTTCACCACCGAAGTTCGGCCAAGAAGCTGCCACAACTGGGATTCCAGTTAGCTCCTCAAGCCAATACTACACCGAGAGTTCTCATACCAAGACCGTTATTCAGACTAAACCCAGAGTCCCTTGGTCCTCAGGGCTCTGCGACTGCTTCTCTGACTGGAGAAATTGTAAGTGCTATTCAGTTTTCCTACCAAATGGAGGGGGGGTTCTGGTGGCGCTTGTATCGGTATGCATGCGCTACAGGGATGGATTGGCCTGAAAAGTCGAAACTCATGGTATTCCTCTGCTTTTATTTATTTATTATTTTTGGCTTCTTTCAGGTTGCATAACATGTTGGTGCCCGTGCGTCACTTTTGGCCAAATTGCTGAGATTGTAGATAAAGGATCATCATGTAAGTTAAACAATAAACACAAATGAGAACATCCACGGCGGCCGCCTTCTTTTTTCTGCAACCTTCTCTGCCGTCGGTGGTGTTTTTTGGCGTGATCTCTTAGTCACTTACCACTCAACCCAAGTTTTTTGTTCTTTTATTTATAGTTATGGTGAATTATGATTATATAACTTAGGAGGGTTAATTAATGGGTTTTGATGCAGCATGTGGGGTAAATGGAGCACTTTATACGCTGATAGCATGTGTGACGGGATGTGCATGCTGCTACTCATGCTTTTACCGGTCCAAAATGAGGCAGCAGTACATGCTGAAGAAACACCCTTGTGGGGATTGCCTTGTCCATTGCTTCTGCGAGTATTGCGCCTTGTGTCAAGAGTACCGTGAACTGAAAACCCGCGGATACGACTTATCCATAGGTAAATCAATTAATACAACTCCTCCCCATTAATTAAAATTTTCTTTAATTAATTAAAGACACCTATACTTGTACGGCGGTAGAACAGAGTCGAACTCGTAATTGTATTGATCAAATATGAAATTGTGTAGGATGGCATGGAAATATGGAAAAGCAGAATCGTGAAGTGGCTATGACTTCAATCCCACCTGTTGTTGAAGATGGCATGAGTCGTTGAACTGAAGAAGACAATAGATCAGTGGAACATCTTGTTGAAGTACTACTAGTAAATATCCGAGTGCTGCCGGCCATTATATATCAAATGGTTGTCATGTCATTGAATTGTTTTTATATTGGATTTTCCTAGCTTCTGCTCTCGACAAGCTATTATAGTACTGTTGTAATTTTAAGGTTTCGATGTTGGTATTGTATAAATCATAAGATCATGTCAAATATCTGATGTTAAAACCTTGAGTTATTAATTCCTTTGGTTTAGACCTGTCAAAAAATAATAAAATACTAATAATGAAACATATGATGCAAAATATTATATTTTATTTTGCTTCTGTGAGGTGTATGTATATTAACTAAATACCTTAATTTACTTTTTAATTTGGAAATTTTAGCCTTTGTATGAATTGAATTTTGATGATGAACTAGCATGATGAGGTATAAGTATAAAAATATTTTATTTCAATTAAATAATAATTCTCTTTTATTTTAAACAATTTTTAAATATTTTTATAAAAAATAAAGGGGTTTTTTGTGCTAATATGTGCCATATGACAAAAAAAATCAAGTACTGGCATGCAATGCCTAATGTTCACAACGAAAAGATCATGCGACCAAAATTAAGGATAGATTTTTGACTATCTTCATCAAATATCTTTAAATTAATTTCTAATAAAAATATAAAAATGAAATAAAATTAAAATTAGAGTAGATGGACTAAGACCACAAATATGATTGAATTAATTCAATCAAGCTTCTAGAATAATAATATATTTGTTCTATTTTTTCCGTCGTTTTTTTGTATTTTTCAAATTTTTATTTTATTTTTTTAATAATTAAAACTTTTACTACTTTTACATCCCCAAATTTTTTTTCATAATTTTCTTTTACTTTTTAACATTAAAAGAAGTAAAAAGAGTTGGGTAATGTATCCAAATTAGGAAGACAGAAAAGTGTGTGATTCCAACATCATTATTGAAATTTAATATAAACAAAGCAAAGCCTGGAGTGCTAGAGGATGGGTTGCAAAGGTTAACATATATTTATTTAATTGAAAAGGTTAACATATGTTTATTTAATATATATATATATGATAAATAATTATTTAATTATTAAATAAAATATAATAATTATTTAAGTTGGTTAATGAAATTAAAAACTCAGTTATTGTAATACTATTCGTCTCATCATTTTTGTTTTAAATATTTGGATTCTTATGTAATAGTTAATTTATCCATGAATTAATATATCTCATTTTTTAATTTATAATTATATGTAACGTTATGGAATAAAAAATTTTGGAGTAAAGTTGGTGGATGAATAAAATAAAAAATTATTACATAATCTATTAAGTTCTTTTCTCTTAATAAAAAATATTATTTAATTAATATAAAGTTACCCGTAGAAATGTCAATGGATAAGGGTAAAACATTTTTCATCAATGTTTTCGAATTTTATTTTTGTATTTATATTCAATAAGTATTTTGAATTTATTTTCATATTTATCTTCACAAATATTTAATAGGTACGGATAATTATTATATTTATAGCTTTTTCTAAAAAAAATCCAAAATTTATATTTTTACTTTATTTTTTTATATTTATATAATTTTTAATAAATAAGAATATATTAGTTATAATTAATCTAAAATAAAATTTATATTATTTAATAAAAAATTTATTTATTAAATATATAAAAATAAATATAAAGTTATTTGATAAAAAGTTTAAAATTATATACACCTTCATTCTCATCTAATTTAAGTAAAAAGTTAAATTTTTAATTGATTATGAATAAGATTGATATCCTTAATTATCCATCATCAATCAATGAAAGTAAATCTCATATGTACATTAAAAAAAGATGATAAATTTTTTTACGTAAAATAATAAATTTAAAATTTATCGAATGTTAAGTTTTAAAAATTATTAGATGAAACTAGAGTAATTATGAGTTTATGATAAAACTAATTTTGATTATTAAGATTTTATGGGTCATAAATATTGAAACAAAATTAAACATACAATCTAATCTAAGACTCTGAGTTAAGATCATAAAAAGATGTAGCTCGGCTTTGGTCGTAGAACTTTAGATTGGAAACTTAATTTAATTTATTATATATTGATACTCAAACTTCGTTGAAAAACTCAAATCAATTACCTACATGTATAAAGATTGCATATTGTATTTAAAAGAAAAAAAAGAAATTCACTATTCATGAATAATGATATTCTTTCTTTTTCTTTAGCATAGTTCTCTGGACTAAGATTGGTCATGATAAAATTGATGGTTCATACAGGAAATGGAAGCCAGGCCAATGAGCAAAGTGAGGGACTGAAACTACCCCCTTAGAAGGGCAAAGGATAGGAGGAGCCAAAAGACCAAACTTTAGTATATAATTTTCGACTCTCGAGTGAAGGTTGGGGGCCCATCACACCTTCTTTTTACCCGTGATTGCCGCTCGTTTGTCCAAAAGAAATCGGGGACCCCTTTAGGAACGGCATTGACTAGGCAACAAGCTTCACAACTGCAGAGTTTCTATACTAGTTCCACATGCCAAACTTCAACAATAATTAATTGTGAAATTACCGCAAATCTCAATTCAATTTAAGAAGTAAACAGAAAGATGAGACTAGAAGGGAAAATTTTGGTAATTAACAAATGATTTTCACTTGTAAGAGTGTAAGTAATCTGCATAATTGGTTGGCGTAGCTTCTAAGAAAAATGGGAAATGGTCAAATGGTTCTTTTCTGATACTGTCAAATCAAACAGGGAGCACACTCATTAAGTTTGGGCTGAAAAGAAAACAAAAGACAAAGTGTAGCATCTTCCTGTATACACCAAGACAAGGATTGGAAAACAGATTTTCTTCGAAACCAAAACTATCTTTTCCAAGACTCCAAATCTTTTGCTTAGATACATATACGCTTGTCATTTCTTTCACTACTTTGAGATAAGATGTACCAACAAGCTCCTTTTCTTGATAATTTATACAAATCCTTCTTTCCCATATGCTGCATCAATGGCTTTCCCCCCTTCTAATCCCTTCATCTTCAAGCATTCAAAGACCTAATTTCATTAAATGAGGATGTGACATCAAGGATAAGGTACATCTTCTAGACATACATTACCTTTTATGATAAAATTTAATGTAATCAAGGTATCTTAAAATTTTGTGCTAGTTTGTAAGCTAAGCATTTACCCAAAATGATGACAAATAGAATTTTCTACTATCTTCTTCTAAACTTTTACCTGTCCATACTAATAGTAAAATTAGTATTAAAATACTAATTCAAATTAGCATGAAAAGCTCAATCAACTAATCATCAAACAATCTAAACAATGTACAATGATGAACTTGAGGCTTAAGTCAAGTGGTTAGTCCCCTACTCTTATAAAATGAATTTTGATAAGATTGAAATTAGATCCCATCACTTACAATAGTTAAGTAGATTAAGGCATCATTTATCATAATTTCATTTCCCACTTTCCCACCAATAAATTAGTACTATATAAATTTACAATGGGTAACTTCCCACTAATCAATACATAGAAATTTTAATTCATTTTGTCTCAACCCCAAGCCCAACAAATATAAAACTAAATTTTTTTTTTTTATTTTTTGATAAAAAAATTTAATTCAAAATCAAATTTCTAATACCTTCTCGTGTGCCTTTAATCACTGTACCAAAGACTCGGTAACAAAACTAAATATTTTACCACCGATACATTTAAACATCAGGGCTATGTGCTTTTGCCGTGACCAACAGGCCTTGAGAAGAGAAGTGGGCGTGGGTTCTAGCCTTACCATTCCCTTCGCCCCTTGTAATCCAATGATAAAAAAAAAAAGGCTATGTTCTGTCAGTAACTTTACCTCATATTTATCTACTTTCTTGTTTTTGTTCAGACTTTTTATCAAACCATTGGCACGCATAGCATTGCCAATTGAGAAATCAAGAAACTTTTTTGCTCTTCAATTTCTTTGATTTTTAACTTCTTCTGGGTATTTCTTATTTTGATGATAAATTGAAGAAAGAGAAAAAAAAGGAGAAGAATGGATGGAGCAGAGTTGGAGTTAGAGAGGAGAAGCAAGTTTTTGAACAGTTTGATTCAAAAGAAGAAAGCTATAGAACAACAAGAGCAAAATGAACTTCTTAATATTAAAGTCAGAGCTTTTGATATGCCTTTACCTCTTCAAAACAAGGCTTTTAAATGTGCCCGAGAACAGCTTGATTCTATGCCTGGAAAGCTTGATAGTAAACGCCTAGCCCTTGCTCTTAAGAAGGTTAAAAATTCAATCTTTCTTGCTCTCTTTTATTACCAGTGATTCTTTGTTTAGATTCTTGTTTTTTGATGTAAAGAATAATGGGTTTGTTTAGATTTTTCATTTCATTGTTTTGGTTGACATAGTTTTAACTTTGGCATGTAGGTAATATTGGTCAATTTATTTATTTTTTTTCATAATGTTGGATAAATTAGTTTTTATTTATTTTTGGGTGTATTATGGGTTTTAACATGTTGTTTGGTAAAGAATATTGGGTGAATGAGGTTGAGTGTTGTGGTTGGATTTATTATGTTGGAGTGTTTTGGTTGTACAGGAGTTATAGATACCATTGGTCCTAGTGAGAATTGGATGGAAACGTTTCTAATAAATTAGTTTTTTTTATTTTTGGGTGTGTTATGGGTTTTAACATGTTGTTTGGTAAAGAATATTGGGTGAATGAGGTTGAATGTTGTGGTTGGATTTATTATTTTGGAGTGTTTTGGTTGTACAGGAGTTATAGATACCATTGGTCCTAGTGAGAATTGGATGGAAACGTTTCTATTTCTAGTTTTGCAAGCCAAATTTTGTCTTAATTCAGTTTTAAGTGAACACATTTAACCCTTCTTGTTTTTCTCTTTCCTTTTTGTCTTTTTTGTATTGTATTGGACTTAGTTAGCCTGTTGCATTAAACCCCATTACTTATTACTGATTCCAACTGCAAGAAGATGTTGCTTATTGGTTTTGATTCATTGATGTCGAGGGCGCTGCTGGTCCTTGTGAGAAGAGAATTTTATTATATTTGCACCTTTGTGGAACCCGTCATTTTTTTTTTTTTTGCCAATGAACCCAACTTTGTTCAGTTTTACAGTTTATTGCCCGCAATATCTGGAGTTGGAATAAGCACAGATTATGATTATTATATATATTTTTTCAAATATCAGACATATTATCTATTGCCATTATGAAAACAGATTGAAGGTCACAGAGAGTTTCATGATGAATTTGATTTAATTTCTCAATATTTACTAGGTTCAAATTTGTCCTGGCCTGAATTTGTGGCAATGGATACATCCTTGATATAGTGCACTCTGTCATCAGGGACGCAATTGAGCAAATCTCATCCCTGCAATTGCATTGGTTTGTATAATTTGAAAATGGTTTGTAATGGACCCTTCCTTGTTAGGCACGCTAGGAGTATGAAGACTGTTTACACATGACTCTGTCGGCAGCGACTGATGAGTCATATGGTTGTCCATACACTGAATCTAAACTAGCACATCTAATATATATATATATATATATATATATATATATATATATATATATATATGAGGAGGGATCTGCTGACGCTATTGTGAGAGTTACACATTTTTTTTATCCTTGGATCAAAATGGCTAAGTGTAAGGGACTCCTTAAGCTTAATATGGTTCATAGCATTTAATCACCTCCTGTTTAAGAGTTAATTTGACAATATTATGATACACTTGCTTTGAGAGTCACCTCTCATTTGACTCAGAGTAACTACTTGTGTCTCAATTTCAAGAGATAGGTTATTCAGTTCTGTTTTCCAGTCCTTTGCTGTGGAGATGATAATGAACGCTCTAACTAGTATGGTAATGTGTGTGTGTAAGATTGAGCTTGTCTGATCTTTGATTCTTACCAGTTGAATGATTCAGTATTCTAGTTAGATGTTTGCTAAAACCTTGTAGTCTAAAATATTGCTGGGTTCTAATTATCGGAATTTTTTAATTTTTACTTTGATATATGAATAGCCCATTATAAGGATCCATTTACCTTTCAGGAATTTGACTCAACATATGGTCCTGCTTGGCACTGCATCGTGGGAACTAGCTTTGGCTCATACGTAACGCATTCACTAGGAGGTTTCTTGTATTTTTCAATTGACAAGGTTTACATCCTTCTCTTCAAGACTGCTGTTGAGCCTTTAGACCATTGATGGTTTCAACAGATTTGTGTTCTACACGTTTCTTGTGTTGGTAACAAATTTACAAATTTCCATTTTAAGTTGCATGTACAACTACAGAATGCAAAACTGATAAACACGTGTATTGTTGGTTCTTCAATATCTATGCTGTATTTGCTAAGTGCTAAAATTATAAATGAGTGATAGGTTCTGTCAATTTCCTGTTCTTACAAATTTTTTATCCTTTATAGATACACAGAAAGTGCCAGTGTTTTGGATGGAGTGCTAGCCTTGGTTTTGTATATTTAGTATCTTATTTTTTACGTTCTTTCTCAATTAAAGGGGCAATAATCTTTAACTTGTAGGGTACTTGAGCAATTGCTTTAGTAATAGGTGCCTGTGCCATGCATGTATCTTCCTGCTCAAAGATTTAAGTTAAAATCTCTCCTGCCCCAAATAAAAAAAATTAAAAAAATAAAACCTTTAAATGAACCAACTTGAATAATGTAAAGGGAATTGATCTACATATAAATAAGAATAGAACCGAATGTGCCTGATCAAGATATCTTGATTAAAGATCTTAAACTACATGTTAAAATCTACTCCTTTTAAATCCAGTCCAAAGAATACAGCGAAAAATAGCTCAGCAGTTATAGCAATACAAAAATAATCTTGAATAATCCCTCCTTGGGCTTATTTGTTACGTAATATAATGGCATCTCTCATCTGCCGGCCGTATGTTCAGTCAAATTTGTCACCCTGCAACTCAACTCTAGGAGAAACAAAAATTGGGCACATGGTGTAAGTATTTCAATAGAAATTGTGTCAATATAAAAGGGCAAAAACACAAATGCAGAAGTTTTACAAGAAAATAATGATTATCGCATAGTTGGAAATGAGAGTTGTGTCATCCTTGCATCTTTTTGAAATCCAACTTTGTTCTGTTATTATTGACTGCAAACTCTGGAGTTGGAATTTATTTATCTACCTTTCTGAAATCTTGTTCGTGTCTTGCTGCTTTGGAGCAAGGAAAGCAAATTCATGCCTGTACCATTAAGCATAGATTAAGTCTGGAAGTTCCGAATTGGAAGTTCTCTTTCACCATGTATACAAAGTTTGAAAATCTGGAAGATGAGAACCTTGTCGTTAGGAGAATGCCACGAAGAAATATGTCGACGAGGAAATGCTGGATCACGCACCGAGAGAGGTTGGGTTGTTTCAACACTGATAAATTTGGAATTATTCCAACTTCAAAGAGTAGAGCACCATGCTTGCATGGTTGATAAGCCGGACCGTGCAGGAAATCTCGTTGATGCTAAGTAATTCACTGAATCAGCTAGCATAAACCATGGCATGTGCTTATGGTATATTAACTATGAATTGGGAGCATATGCCGCATCAGACAAAATTGGAGTTTGGCCCTCAAGAATCATCTACCAATGTCTTATTGTCAAGAGTATCTATTTTGCCTTAGGTAGGTTGCAAGATGTGGAGACGTTGATCAGGAGGATGATGAGTATTAGAGGGGTGAATAAAGAACCTAGGTGTGTAGCTGGATTCTGTTTCATTTCTGCAATTTATTACGGTGACCAGGAACTAATCGCTGCTTGTATGTGATAATTTATTCCATTCTTTGGCCAGTCCTTGTCTACATAATTTTCTACATAGTAATCTAACTTTAACATCAGGATTTGTATCTTTATCAAAGAGTGGCAAATGAAATGCATCTCATCTTGTGGCCTGCTAGATGTCAGTCACAGTGTAAGAGGCATTGTTAGACTGCAACATCATTAAACATTATTGTTACTACTCCTAGGACTTTTATCTTATACTGCTAGCTGTTAAAAGTATAAGAGCAATAAGTTTCGCCCAAGCAAAAAAATTATAAGGGTGAGGGGTATGGTTTTGAAAATAGAACTTGTAACTAAGATATTAATTTATTACCACATACCAACTTATTATATGCAACTTTAGTAAAATGCATCTTCATTTAGGAAAGGATCATGCAGTATATAAAGTTTGTTCACTTCAGTCGTTTTTGATGTATTGATTCAGCTGCACATGCCAGGTTGCACTGGCTTAAACCCCTAATGGACTAATAAGAGCTGTGCAGACGCTATCCCAGCACCAGTTAAATCACCACAGCTTAAAAAGCCTTCGGATAAATGGCATCTACAACATGTAGAAACAACACTTCGAAAGGCTATTACCTTCTACCAAACCAAACACAACAGCAGGTGTAGCAAAAGCAACATCCTTTCCTATATCATAATTACAGAAAGTTTCAAGCATACAGATTGGAAGAATTTGGCAGAATCATTGATGTGGAAGTCTGTCGCAAGTGCAATGAAGTAAGGATGGTTTTTTATTGTCCTAGGGAGGAATGCAACAGGAAGGGAGAGCATTCCCTGACTGGTTGTAGTATGTGCCAGTTTTGCATTCCGAGGTGTAAAGAATGTGGAAGGTAAGGCTGTTTGCGCAGAAACTCTTTGCTCAGATTTTTGGATTCAGCTTTCGAAATGTAAATTTTGTAACAAACCATGTTGTAAGCAACATTCCAATCTGCAGATAACTTCATCCGGTTCAACTGGGTGGATTTGCAGTGTCTGTCGTGATAAATTGTTGAGAAGTTCCTATGTTTCTGACCAATGACATTCCTAGCATGTCACATTTTTTCCTCGAAAGCAAATGATTGGAGAAACCTAGACATGTCATTTGTTTTTCCAGATCAAAAACAATTTCAAGACATATTATTTGAGCATGAGATAAATGAACTTACCATGCTCATGCATTCCATTTTTTTTAATCTTTGGATGTAAAAATCAGCGTGACAACTTTCTTTGAACATGATCGTAGCACTATCAATTTAAAATTTTAGTCTCAATATAAAATTTGGGAGAGCGACAAGATTTTGAAGCCCACCAACACTGGCAAAGAACCAAGTTGGCAACATTTGACTGAGCCAATAAATATCTTGAACTACATATTCAAATGGACATTCTACAAATCCAGGCCAAGTTACAACCAAATGTACCTTAACAAGATATCTTGATCAAATAAATATCTTGAACTAAAAATCGAAATGGACACCGCAAATCCAGTCCAAAGAATACAACCCAATATACCTAACTAAATAAGATAGTACACAGCAACAATCTTGAATAATCCTTTGGTTTGTTTGTACAGAATCCAATAACAAAGCACAACTCATTTTAAAACTACTTGCTGTCCATATGTTCAGTCAAATTTGCCGCCCTGCAACTCAACTCCTATAGGAGAAACAAAATTGGGTCTGCTGCAAGTATTCCAACAGAGATGGAATCGAATTTCTTGAAAGATTTGAATGCTGTTAAAACTGAAGGGCAAATAAAAACAAGTTCTACAAGAAAACAGCACTCATAAGTAAAACACCTATTATCACAGATGTTGTGAAAGAACCACTCTCATAGAAATACTGTGGTGGGCAGCCCGAACTTGAGGAGTTTGTTGAAGGAGCCACTGATGTGTCATTAATTATGGTGCCGTTTTTTCCAATACTACAAACAAAAGTAAAGTCACATCAGCAGATTTCTCTATGGCCATCATATTATGCATTATATAATCTGGCTTGAAGAACTAGTAACATTTACGAGCATCAGTGCATACCTTCCAGGAAATACACATGAGCCATGACCTGCACCGAAGGACAACATTTGTAAGTTATTAGGTGCTATTAGAAACAAAAAAGTGAACTATTAACTTTTCCTTCGCATGCCTCTCTTTTTTTATGTGAGGAATGACAGAATGCAATCTACTATTCATGTTCTCATTTAATGATTGAATAACACCACAAGTGCATCAACTAATTGCACATTAAAACATAGCCTAAAAGCCCCCTCGATTGTATCCCAAGCCCAACTAGACTCAGTTTTCATCATGTCTTGGAAAGACCAAATTAGCAGCATGTAACAATGATTATACAAATACCAGCAAATGTACCATCAAGAAGTTTGATAGCCTTAACCACTATATTGTCAGTTAATCAATTCTCAAAATGACAATTTACAATAAGAACCAATATCATAGTCACATACTTGGATCAGTTGTAGTGATGGTAGCCACCCCCTTGAAATCACAGGTCCCAGGAGACTTGGCCATCAGCTGGAAATAGGCATTGAAAGCATAAGTTGAATGGGAAACCACATTATTGGGCTCATAACATGGATGCCCCTGCAACAAAGGTGAGCAATCAACTTTCCCTGGTCCACAAGCCCAATCAAGAGCTGCTTGTAACATCTTCGGATCAGCACCCTGCTTTGCAACACAAAAAGTTTGGTTTGTAGTGTCATTCGCCAAAACAGTGCCAGCACCTGTCAAGTGCAAAATATAAACGGGTATTCCATTGGCATCAAATAGCCCCCAGTTTCTTTCTGAGACTGACCCAGATCTCAAATCCTCATTGTAAAGCTCATAGATGTAAGTACTAACTGCAATCCCAGGGTGTTTAGGAGTGCCAGTGTTGTTAAACACATGCTTGATCAAGTTACTATTGTACGTATTAGCATTTTCAACTGTAGCATCAGGCTCAGATGAATCACCCTTAGAAGGCCAACCAGACTCAGTTACTACAATCGGAATGTTGGTAATGTTTAAATAAGACATCGCAAAATATGCTGCATCAACAACAGCATCAAAGACATTAGTGTAATGCAGGAGTGTGTTAGAATCCACAGCTTCTTTGTTAGGAGGGAGAGGACGGAAAAGTGCATAGTCCAATGGGATCACGCCATTTGATTGCATGTAATCATAATACGGATATACATTGAGCATAAGGTACGACTCTGTAGACTGCAAAAACTTTAGCAATGGAACCATGACTGGATCCCATGAACGATTAAAGAAGGCTTGAGAAGGTGGAAAAGAATCCAGAATAATCGAAGAAGAATGTGGAGTAGAGACTTTGATTTGACCGTCAAGATTAGAAGCAACAAGGGCAGAGTGGATGAACTTTAGGGCAGAAACTAGGACTGGAGCAGCATTTGGGAGTGCAGTGAGAACTTCAGATCCAACAGCTATTGCCGTGATATTGGTAGCAGGGACATGGGCTATAATATTGCGAGCTACCCAGTTGGCAGCAGTGGCATTTGACTGACCAATACCAAGGAGTTCATCATTGGGGACAGAGACAGTCACCTGGATGCCTGTGTTGGCAAGTGCAAGGAGCATGGCCCTGTCAGCATCATAAAGCCTGACATTTCTGATATTCTGAGCCTTGAGAAGGGCCACCACTTGAGTAGGGCTGGGCATGTCAGAAAGGTCTGTACCAATGTTCACACCGATGAAGGCATCTGCATAGAGAGGTCACAAGTAGATGTTAAGACAAGTATGTGATCCACAAAAAATGAAAGGTCTTCTATTTTGATAAAAGGTTAACAATGTCAGTGACCACAGCAATTTTAGAGAAGATTGCCATATATGCTAACAATAGGCTAAACCAAATGAAATTTAAAGAATTAAACCACATAGAAGAATGGGGAGAAAAAGAAAAAGGAGTGTGTGTACGATTCAAGCAACTACGATATAGATAAAAAAATTAAGACATACAAGACAATGCAATAAAAGTAGTAAAGAACTACAATAGGCTATGCGGCTAGTGATAACTAAAGAGGAAAAAGATTGATAAAACCAATAGATTTTATAAATCCTATAAACATTATAGTGGCATGGTAATGCTGCAGCATTTGGGGACACTTTCATCAAGATTTACAGTTCCAATCCTTCCATTTAGCAGGATAGAAAATTTTAAAACCGGGAATCTGTAATTCCTTTCAGCCCCTACTCGGAGAATAATTTCATCACATTAATGAAGCATCTTAAAGGCTTCTACATAAAGTTCAATATCAAATCTACACTTCACATAGATATAGATCAATTTTATCAATTCATTTTACTTTAGGATCAATATAATCTCTTAGATCAATCCCATATTTCCATTCAGTAGTAAGTTTTGACTCAAAGGTTCCAAAGTCATTTCAGATTGTTGCCTTCTTCTTAGTAGAAGCAGAGACACAGAGGCAAAACTGTTGTATTTAGAATAAAATTGTATACTTCAAATGAGAGTAATAGAATATGGGTAACATATCAGACCATATAAGCAGCACAATCCTCCCCATACTTGTCAATCTCTCAAGACTCCAGAAGAAATCTAGCATCAGTTAACTTGTATAGGTTTCATATGTATATTATAAATTTTTTCAGTATAATTCTCCCAACAATTAAAGGAAATATAAAAGGAGACATCAGACAAGACACAGCATCAGCATCCATCATAAGTAATACCAAAGCACATGAAATGATAACTCACTTGACAACTAGAATAACCAACAGTTGAATCTGTATCCAAGATTCTATATTAATTTTTTTGATGGAATTTATCATTATTACTTCATTATAAATTTATACGAAACAGTTCAGGGAGGAGATGGCCACTACGTATAATATACAGACCAACTACGCAAAGATGCTATCTTTCTACGATTAAGATGACAATACTACCCTCCAATGTACATTCCCTAGGATGCAAATACCTTAAACATTTGGATCCCTTTCATAAGGTTATTTTGGTCCTACAAAATATTCTGTGGGGATGTAGTTTTTAAACGGGATAAAGGACGCCAAATGAGCAGGGACGCATAATAGTTGAGATTCCCATTAAAGATGGAGGAGAAGAAAGATCAGAAGAGTTTCCAACAAAGGGAAAGACTTTCTACAGAGGCTTCTGCTTTGACAGGAACAGTTAATCCCCAAAGGGAAAGGACTATTCTCTCTCTCTCTCTCTCTCTCTCTCTAGAACCATCATAATTTCCAGTTTCCACAGAAAAAAGTTCATGATAAAAGAAGTAAAGTAACATTGTGATTTCAAACAACACAACCGGATTAATGGCCCACAAAACCAAACAAGAAAATCGAAATAATAGCACTTACAGTCAACTCAAATTTTTTAAAAATCCAAATCAAAATGTAGACACAAACTTATACAGAAACATATCAAGGCATACAAAGAAACAGCAAATGAAGAAGTAAGAAAGTACTAACAAAGACTATAGGGGCAGACAGAAGCAAGGGGCAAAGAGAAAGCTTATTCAAAACACCAAAAAAGTAGGAACCCCCAATCACCAAGAAAAATAGACACAACCCATCACTGAAAGAACAAATGAAAAGAGCAATGACTTAGAGAGAAACTAGAAAGATTAAACATAGTTTTTAACAGAGATAAGCCAGAAGTACCCACAGAGACAAACACATACATAAATGCAGCAGTGACTATAGCTTCAAAGAAACTTACCTTCATCACCAGAAACAGCAGAGACAAGCAAAAGCAGAAGCAGCAGGAAAATAGCCATTTGAGCGAGTAAAGTTTCAGTCTTTCAAAAATATACAAAGCTATTCAGTTCAACCTCAAAAAGAACCCAGACAAAAAAAAAAAAACCCCAGACAGAAAAAGAGAGAGAAAGAGGAAAGGGAGCTCCTTTTGAGGTTTTGGAAGTAGAAATAGAACAATTGGTGGAACTGTAAGGGAAGAGGGGGTTTTAGACTTGGTTTTAGTAGTAAAGGAAAGAGAGGTTTTTTGTTACTTTATACTATTTCTTGCCATAGATACTTGTGTCAGAAATCCAACGTTCCAGATTTAAATGCTGAGATGGCTTTTCATTTTTTTAATTATTGTTTATTTTTCAATTTTTTAAAGATTATGTGTTCGTGCTGTTTGTGTTGTGCTTTTTTGGTCAGTGACTCAGTGTTCATGCAGAATAGAGTCACAGTCTACGAGGAGAGTACTGTCTCTTTGCTGACGTGGCATGCAGATTGGATTCAACGGTCATATTCTCTCAGATCTTTCATCAGTTTTTTCCTACTTCAATAATTCTCTGTTTTTTATTTGTTTGATTCTGTAACTGGAAAAACAGGTTTGCAGGGAAAATAAATTAATAATGGGACAGCCCGAATTAATACAAATTTTGCAGCTGTTTGGTTGCTGAGAAAATGCTCTGAACCGTATATATGCCATTGCCAGTCTACTTCGGTAACGTATGTCATCTGTAGTAATCTCGTTTATTTGAAAAATCAAATGAATTAGGTAGAGATTTTTGTTCTAATAGTAGTGCTGTTTATGTGGGAGATTGATGAATTTTTCCCCTTGATTTAAGTGTAATTATTTAACAAATACTCATGTACTTAAAGCTTGGTTGTCAAATTAATAAGGTAGGGTCCGTAGAAAGTCTTTTGCTTTGGAAAAATAAAACCCGAACAAAAAGAACCGTATCCGACCCAACTCCTTTACCCGAATCTATTAGACTTTTGACGTCGAACTTCCTCATCTTAGCTAGCTCGTCTTCTACGAGTGAGCATAATACTAGGGTTTCAAAATGAACTGAAAATAGAGAAAGAAGAGAAGGAAAAATGGATCAAACGCAGAGATCACTGGCAGCAGCTGCAAACTCCCGAACCTATCAGTTCCACCCTGCCCGATCCGCTATTACCGATCTTTTCAATCTTTACTTAGGAGTAATAATTTCCATTTATTCTTTTCTCTTTTCCCTTTATTGTTTTTTAATTTCCAAACTAAAACGTAATGATTCTTTTCTGTCTTTTTCTATTTTGTTTGCAGAGAAGTAATCGCCAAAAAGCTGAGGATTCTATTCGAGAAGCACCGTAAGTCTTCTTTTTTTTTTTTTTTAATTTGATGGAGGTTTAATCGATTGTTTTTTTTTAATAATTAAACTTTAAATTTTCAGGAACAAAACCCAAAAGCGTGTGCTTGCTCTTAATAGAGAGCTTCCTCCTCGAAACGAGCAGTTTCTTTTAGATTTTGAGCAACTTCAGACTCAATTTGGTGTAAGTTTTTCCCCCTTTTTTAAGCATCAAATGCCACTTTACCTTTTGTTTCTTCTTCTTTTTTTTTTTTTTTTAAAATTTTGCTAATGTTTTATTTAAGCTCGGGCTGGTTGTTACTTTTTCTACTTGCTGTAGTGCAAAAACAGATGATAAAAATCAAAATTTTAACAAAAGAAAACAAATGTCATGTCAATTATAACATAAGTAATATATATATATATATATATATGAAAGTAAAATCTATGTTTTTCGTTTGTTTAAAGAAATTAAACTTTTAATTTTTAACTTTTTTACGGATATTGGTTGCATTCCTATCCAAATGTAGAAGCAAAAAGCAAGTAGTAGCAGTAACAACCGAATGGCACCTCAATTAATCTGTCACAATAAAATTTCTAAACATTGATTCTCAACTGTACAATTATTTATTGATGCTGTGCCGTTCTTGTCAGGATCAAGATCAGTTGCGGTCTGTGACAGAATCTGTTCTAATATCTTTGGTTATTCAGTGTTGTAGTCATGCACCACGGGCAGAGTTTCTTCTTTTTGCTTTACGTAGCTTGTGCAATATAGGCTACATTAATTGGGATACGCTTTTGCCGTCCCTTCTGTCTTCAGTTTCCTCTGCAGAAGTGCCGGCAGGTCAAGGGAGTCAGGGAGTGCCTTCTGTTTCATCGACAAGTTTATCACAGTCTGGGATGATGCCATCTACTAGTGTAATAACTAACACTTCTAATTTTCAGTCCTTGAATCCTGTATCTACATTAACTTCAGTTCAAGTTATTGGGTCTCCAGCACAACCTACAATTGAACCTTCTTCCGGTGCAACTTTATCCCCTGTAAAATCATCTGATATTTCCTCTAATGGTCAACCATCTACAACTAGGATGAATTCATCTATAAGAGATAATGCTATAAGCAATTTACGTCAGCTATGTTGCAAGATCATTTTAACTGGGCTTCAATATGATTTAAAACCAGTGACTCAAGCTGAAATTTTCTACCATATGCTGAATTGGCTGGTTAATTGGGATCAAAGACAACAGGGAAATGAGGAATGTGAAGGAAAGTCCTGGAGACTGGACAAGGCTCTAATTGAATGGCTGCACAGTTGTTTGGATGTAATTTGGCTGTTGGTTGAGGAAGATAAATGCAGAGTGCCCTTTTATGAATTACTTCGAAGTGGATTGCAATTTATAGAAAACATCCCAGATGACGAAGCATTGTTTACACTTATCCTGGAAATACATAGGAGGAGGGATATGATGGCTATGCATATGCAAATGTTAGACCAACACCTTCATTGCCCCACATTTGGAACTCATCGGATTTTGTCACAGACAACTCCTAACGTTTCTGTTGAAGCTGTGGCAAACTTGCGGTATTCACCAATTACATATCCAAGTGTGCTTGGAGAACCACTGCATGGAGAGGTGCTGACTGTTATAATTTATAAATGCTCATTATAATATCTAAAATATAGTATACTTTCCTTACTGAAATGGTCTCTAAGTTTTTTTTAGTTTCTTTTGGCAGCCTTATTAAAGTTATATTAGTCTATATAATTGCTTGTTATGTAGTAGAATAGTGGTGTGCTTCAATGTTATGTCTTGGAGGTTCTTTTCTTTTGGCAGCCTTATTAATGTTATATTAGTCTATATAATTGCCTGTTATGTAGTAGAATAGTGGTGTGCTTCAATGTTATGTCTTGGAGGTTCTTTCCAGAGAAATGACTTTGTATTCTAACCTTTAGTTATATAAAATGAAGAAGGTCAGTGATGGCCAATGGTTTGTCTTATTCGAAATGAAATGTGCTCTTTTGACGGCAATGGTATGATTGTCAGAGCCTTAAATCAATTCTGTCCATTGACCTATTGGGATAGCAGTCTTTGAGCTTTGGCCTGCCTTTCAGTAAATTATGACTATGTTCTCTTTGAAAGAAAGGGGTCAATGAAACTGCTGCATCTGTTCTCTTTCTTAGTCAATGGGCATAAGGGTCAGCATAAAATAGAGAATCTACTTCAGATAAATCTACTTTGCTAGGCAGCCTGTGGAATGGCCAAGAGCCAACCTTTCTGATATATTATCCTAGTGGAGAATGGATTTGGTGGGAAGGGGGACAAGAGAATAAAAAACCTAGACAAACCTTTGTTCCTCATCATATTTTGTTAACAACGTTTAGGATTCCTCTATGTTGCTTAATGTCATTTCAGATCTATCAGCATATATCTCATGGAGGTCTGACATCTGGTCTTTTATGAACCCTTTTTTAAGGAATCACTTACGTTTCTTATATCTACTTTTTGGAATTTTGAAAGGATCAATTGTGATTTCTGATTAAGTGCCTTTGATCATTTGGAGCTTATAAGTTTTGTTTTGATGTTATTTTTTGGTAAATCCTTTTTGAAATTAATTGATTTGAAGCCTTCTTATTGGTTTCTCTTGTTGTCTGCTTGCCTAATGCTTGTAGATACTTTATCCTCTTTTATGCATCATTCTTAGATATAAACTAGTGAGTTTCTTTATCTAGCTGAGGACTAAATATTAAAATTTGTCGTTTAAATCTCGAGTTTGATTCATGCTAAATTCTCCTACAAAATGGGGAGAGGCTGTCAATTTCTCAAGTACTTTTTAGTTTGCTTCTATTTGGTAGATTCAGCTTCTGGTTGAAAACCATTTCTGTTTGCATGGATATGTAAGCTTTTTCTACGTTTTCTTTAATTATGACTTGTATAAATGTTCTTTGTGTATTTGGGAGGAAGGGAAGTAAAAGAAGCGTGCACATGCACACACACACACACACAGAGACACAGACACACACAAACTCACATATAATGGGTTACAGGGACTAAGTGTGGTCAGATTAGTTTCTTTTAATAGGGAAAGGGGGGGTATAGGGGTTGTAGGAACAATATTGGGTTGGCATTTAGTAAGTATGTATTAATAGTTTCTTTTGTGTAGGATCTTGCAGCTTCTATCCAGAGCAGTAGTTTGGACTGGGAGAGAGCTTTACGTTGTATAAGGCATGCTATTCGCTCTACTCCTTCTCCTGATTGGTGGAAACGTGTGCTTGTTGTGGCACCTTGCTATCGAGGTTCTACCCAAGTGCCTACTCCTGGTGCTGTTTTTACCTCTGACATGATTTGTGAGGCAACAATTGATAGAATTGTTGAGCTTTTGAAGTTGACAAATTCAGGCAATAAATTCTTCCATATACTTATTTATTTATTTATTTTTGGCTCTAGTCAATTTAAAAAGCCTGTAAATCATTATCTTTCCGTTAATAATTCCTAGGTGATTGATTCTGGTCAATGAGTTCTAATTCATCTGTTTGATGCTAGGTTTTTTTTCAAACTTTGTCCTTTTAGCAGTGCCAGTTCCCCAAAATAGTAGTGGAATTATGAAGGAATTGATCTTTTAGATATCCTGAATTTCTCACACTTTCTGGTTTCCAACATTTTTTTAATTGCAGAGATAAATTGCTGGCAGGAGTGGCTTGTCTTCTCAGATATATTCTTCTTTCTTATGAAAAGTGGATGTATTGATTTTGTTGATTTTGTTGATAAGCTGGGTTCACGCCTTACAGAGAGTGATCACCACATACTTAATACAAATCATGTTACCTGGCTTTTTGCACAAATCATTCGGGTTGAGCATGTCATGGCTGCTTTGAATAATGATTCTAGAAAGGTTGTTTCTAAATGGAAAAGTTCATTGCCTTTATCATATTCAGTTCGTTCCAACTTGATGAACTTTAGGTCTTGTACAAGTGCATCATGAGGGGATGTTTATGTTAGGGGAGACTTAGTCATAGTCTCATGAAATATGTGTATCTTTCATTCTAAGGTTTATTATTCTCTGCATTGATTACTTGTTAGTGATTGAGAAAATTATATGAATCGATTTGCTTCAACTTAGGCCTTACAATTCTGCTTGTAGGTGGAGCTGACAAGAAAGATTCTATCATTTCATAGAGAAGATAGGAGCTCGGATCCTAATAATCCCCAAAGCATCTTGCTTGATTTTATTAGCAGTTGTCAAAACTTACGCATTTGGTCATTGAATACATCAACCAGAGAATATTTGAATAATGAACAGTTGCAGAAAGGGAAGCAAATAGATGAATGGTGGAGACAAGTGAGCAAAGGTACATATCATGCACATGCTATTGTAGACTTGAATAAACTTAATATGCAGCTATTATAGGTGGTGAAGCTAAAGAAAACTGTGTCCTGCATACCCTGTTTATTGCTTTTTGCTTTGTACTTCTTGTTCACTGTTACAACGAACTTATCATTAACCTGGTCACATTACGTTGACATGTCAGATCTTTAGCGTGCCTGTAAAATTCATCAATACCTGAATAGACCATAAAATATGGCACATCTTTTTACAGTTTTAACATGTTCTGGTTTTATTTTAGGGGAATGCATGATGGATTTTATGAATATGGATGATAGATCAATTGGGATGTTTTGGGTCGTCTCCTACACCATGGCACAACCAGCTTGTGAAACTGTCATGAATTGGTTATCTTCTAGTGGAGTTACAGAGTTGTTACCAGGAGCCAATGTACAGCCCAATGAGAGATTAATGGTGATGCGGGAAGTTAGTCCATTGCCAATATCACTGTTATCTGGCTTTTCAATGAATCTTTGTTTGAAGTTGGTCTCTCAAATGGAAGAATCTTTATTTGCTGGGCAGGTATGATTTCATGTTTCTGGCCCATATAAAAACTTGTGCCTGGAATAGATTTTTTACATCTTTATGTGTGCTTATGTAACTTAGTGAGAGGAGAAGAGGATTACTATAGAGCTAATTGAAAGGTGGTTTCAAGTAGATTTTTCTTCACTAGAATGACAGTTGACAAACAGGTTTAGGATGTTTCTTAATGAACCTACTTTCTTGCATCCTGCCTTCTCTTGTATTAAGTTGAGCTGTGTGTAAGCGCTGGATGATTTTCAGCTTTGTTGTTCTGGCTGTGAAGCTTCTACCACCTGTAAGCTAAAGCCTAAATGTTGCATGGTACCCTACCATGCAGTGGTGTAGCAAGAAAATTTTTTTTCAATGGTGTCATATATCAATTCACCAACTTCTACTTAAATGCAGTATTTTTAAGCATTGTATTATTAAAAATGTTTTACATTATCCAAAAATATACAAAAAAAATGTGTAATAATATTTGTAATACAAATATAAAGAATTTTTATTTTTTTTGAAGCTACATATTACTCATTGTCATTATAAAAATGGATGGAAATTTTACTTGTTTTGACCCCTCTCTTTATATTTTTATTTAATTTTACTGGGGTTAAAAAGAAAACTATAAAAGAGTTACTCTTATATAACTATATAAATTCAGATTTTCTAGAGTTGCAAAACGTGGCTATGCCCTTGCTACCATGCATAACTAATTTAGTTGATGTGAAGCAGATAAATTAACAGTTTAATGCTTTCTTGCTTTTGTTTCCACATGCAAGAATGACTTTTGTCTCTTAGGTCGAATGGCCTTTGTTGTTTTGGCCAAATTATCTTTATAACTCAAGATGCTGATGGCAGAAACTATTAAAAAGAGGTGTCAAGCAAAAACAATTAACAGGACCTTGTTTAACTGGTTCAACTTAAGTTATGATCCTAAAATAGAATTGTGTAATCTAATTCATATAGTTGACCTCTGTTTGTTGTAGGTTTAATTGGATCATTACTGGTTGTCGAACTCTTTTTAATGCTTGATATTGATACTTTGATGCAGGTTGTTCCTAGCATTGCTATGGTTGAAACATACACCAGATTGCTGCTCATTGCACCTCATTCATTATTTCGTTCACACTTTAGTGTAATTTACTTTGCCTCTAAAGTTACTATTTCTTATCTTTTTAGAAAATTTCTTATAAGTAAAGGAATATTGCCATTCAGTTCTCTTTTAGATCTGTGGTATAAATTTGTTGTTCGTCTGAAATGTTAGTTTCTTATCATTTCTAATAGAAGCCTTAAGAGGTAATTGTCACTTTAATATTTTTTTCCTTTAACCTTAAGCTAGCTGAAAGTAAATCAGTCATCCTCTAATTTGGAAAAACAAATTTTGACTTACAATGACTTCATCTATCGATATATGTGTTTTTCAGATTTCCTGACATGTCTTGCACTGTCATGACAGATGAATAAATCTGTTCAAGATCATTGGCTGCTCTGGAACTGACTAGAAGAAACAATCACTGATTATAAAACCATTTTTTAGAAAAATTTATATTCTTACACTAATTTTTTGATTTTTCTCTCCAAACCCATGGTGAGTTATGATCAATAGATGACCCGATTTAGTGGGAAAAGGCTTAGTTGTTGACTGCTGCATTTTTCCAATTTAGACCAAAGTTTGAGTCTATTTCCCTTATTCTCACTTTTTTGGGTTTATGAAAATATATATTATTGCTAGCTAATTCAACAATAAGATGTCTTAAAAATCCTATCTTTGCAGCATTTAGCTCAGAGGAATGCTTCTTTATTGAGCAAGCCTGGGGTGACACTTTTGGTGCTTGAAATTGTGAACTATCGCCTGCTTCCACTCTACAGGTGATCTTCGGCCTGGTTCATCCAGCAAAGATATTCCTCTTCCCTCAGCTGCTGATAGTGTGTGATAAAGTCTAGAATGATAACTGTTATCAATTCTTCAGGCACTCCTCTGGACATCAATGTTTCAAACTTCTTTTTCAGAATTGAGCTTTCTGATTCCCTTGGGTTTCTGTGTTCTTTGCCCATTCTTCACTTTTGTCTCATCCCTTAATGAGTTTTTATAAATTCTCAAGATTAGTCTCTTACTCTTAGGATTGTGGCAGCTTCAAATTCTAAGCCTTGGTATTTAATCTTCAATTTGATTATATAGTATATGAGATTTGCAATCCCTTTTTGTAGGTACCAAGGAAAATGTAAAACTCTGATGTATGATGTTACAAAAATAATTTCTGCATTAAAAGGAAAACGGGGAGATCATCGTGTGTTTAGGTTGGCTGAGAACTTGTGCATAAATCTGATTTTGTCATTGAGAGACTTTTTCTCAGTGAAAAGGGAAGGGAAGGTAAATGCTATTATCTCAAACCAAAAACTTTTGTTGTTCTCTCCTTTCCATTGCTTAATGTAGCTAAAATATTTGAAATTGATTTTTACAGGGCCCCACTGAATTCACAGAAACTTTAAATCGGATAACTATAATCACTCTTGCCATCACCATTAAAACACGCGGAATTGCAGATGCTGATCACCTACTTTATCTTCAAACCATGTTGGATCAGATATTGGCAACTAGCCTGCATACTTGGTCAGAGAAAACACTACGTTATTTTCCCTCTCTTCTTCGTGATATCTTAATGGGACGGACAGACAAAAGAGGATTGGCAATTCAAGCATGGCAACAGGTTCAACTGATGTTTCCTTAAAAAAAATTCAATTTTCTTTTTTCTTTTTTTTTTTAAATTTTATTTGATATCTTTTGTGAGATAAAGCGATCCCAATGGAAATTCAAGGCACTTGCTTAGCAAATATGCAAAATGAGTGTAAGAAGAAAAGGAAGAAATAGTTAATGCCTCAAGCCTCAAATGTCTATAGAATTTTCATGAAAGGGCTTGTTAGACAAAAAGGAGAAATCTAACGTAAATAGAAAATGCTCTTGAAAGCTATTAGGTTTTTTTTTTTTTTTAATTCTATTGATTAGTGCTTAATTCCTGTCATAATTTGAGAGTGAACAGATTATTTTAGACACAGGAACACTGATATATACATGTTTTTCATAGGTTTATAAAAAAAACTTGAAATATGCTATCGTTAATCACTCTGTTGAAATATTTTGTGTTGTTTCGATGCATGAGTTTATTGTTATTAATAGTTGTTGTCATCATGTTATCCTCATTTTTTCCTTGTTTGCCTAGATTTCATGCAGTAGCTAATATTGGAACATTTACTTATTTTACAGTCAGAAACAACAGTGATAAACCAATGCACCCAACTTCTTTCTGCATCTGCTGATCCAAATTATGTTATGACTTATATTAGTCACAGTTTCCCTCAACACCGGCAATATCTTTGTGCTGGTGCATGGATACTGATGCAAGGGCGCCCTGAAAACATTAACAGTGGAAACCTGGTATGTTTATCTAGTCTTTTCTCACTTGCCTGGAAAGATCACTTGAATAGAATCATATTGTTACTTTCCTGATAGCTACTATGCACTTCCTTTTTCTCCTAAAAATTTCATTAAATGTTAAAGACATAATCTTTTGCAAAAAATGAGTCAGGCACGGGTGTTGAGAGAATTTTCACCTGAAGAAGTGACATCAAATATTTATACAATGGTGGATGTATTACTTCATCACATTCATATGGAGCTTCAGCATGGGCATTCCTTGCAGGTTTTGTAGCCATTTTCTATGTAGTTTCATTAACTAAATTATTGCTTTGTTAAGTATTTCACCTGATTTGCCTTTTTCAGGACCTCTTTTTGAAAACTTGCGCAAACCTTGCCTTTTTTGTTTGGACCCATGAGTTGATTCCTTTGGATATATTGCTTCTGGCACTCATTGACCGTGATGATGATCCCCATGCCCTGCGTATTGTGGTATGTTCCACTGAAATATTTTACTACTTTTCTCATGAAACTTTTGTTCATAGATGCAGTTGTCTAAATTGATTGTTGTGCATAACAATTGGCCTCATATAAGTTCCTGTCTTGTAGTTTTGTTTCTGGTCTCAATCTTCAGGAGTCATGACTAACTTGGTCATCTGAATGTTTGCTGCAATGAGCAGTAGTAAGGGTTTTTGAAGTCTTGTATTGTACATGTATTTAACTGGCCTTTTATCCTTCTCTTTGGATCTTTAATATGGAGGCTACTATTTTTGTTGATTGCTGTCTATGAGGAATCTGTAACTTTTTTTACTGCAACTATGGTCTTTGCAAGGCCTTTATTTTAATACTGAGTAGCATCATACTCTAGTGTCATTGAGTCAGATTATTGTGTACACGAGGTTCTGATAGCAGTTTGTTTACTTCCCATATTTTTCTTTTATTCTTCTGTCTCGACTCTTGATTTCATTTTCATTCTCCTTTATACCATGCTGACCATTCATTTGATGTCATCTTGGAGATTTTTTAAATAAATTAATTTTTATTCTGCTTGAGTTTATCTAAAAATTTGTAAAGTTTAATGCAGAAAATTCTTACTACTACTAATTAAGATAAACTGTTGACTTATTGTTACTGCATTGATGTTCTGATAATGTAATTATAAATTGCAGATAAGCCTACTTGACAGGCAAGAACTTCAACAAAGGGTGAAACTATATTGTGCGAGTCGTGGGCCTCATGAGCATTGGCTTAACACTGGAATGTTTAAGCGCACTGACTTGCAAAAGGCCCTTGGCAATCATCTCTCATGGAAGGACAGGTGATTTTTTTTAAAACATGAAACACTCCAGGTTGGAGTCTAAACTTTTATTTATCTGGTGATTAGTAGAGCGTTGTAGTTAAGCTAATATATACACTAATATATATGGTTAGGAGTGGAATATGCTATGTGCTCTGTTGGGATAGATACTTAGTAAAGTATGTTGCTCTGTATTTTCTGTTTTGTTATTTATGTTTAGCATTATTATTGACACTGTCTTTCTAAGCTTTACAGGTATCCTACATTCTTCGATGATATTGCAGCACGTTTGCTTCTAGTCATCCCATTAATTGTTTACAGACTTATTGAGAATGATGCTACAGAAGCAGTGGACAGGATTCTGGCGATGTATTCTGTATTTTTAGCTTACCATCCGTTAAGATTTACATTTGTTCGTGACATTCTTGCATATTTCTATGGTCATCTACCTGGAAAGCTCATTGTTCGAATATTGAAGGTATTAGATCTTAGCAAGGTAATTACACTTTCTGCTCCCTTCCATTTACCTTGTATACATACTGGTTTTCTCGAAGCTTATTGGCTTCAAATTTGTTCCAGATTCCTTTTTCCGAATCATTCCCGCAGCACATTGGTTCATCAAATCCTGCGATATGCCCACCTCCAGAATATTTTGCAACTCTTTTATTGGCTCTTGTGAATAATGTAATACCCCCATTAAACAGCAACTCAAAAAGTGGATCAATGGGAGATGCTTCCAATAATTCAGTGCGTGGTCCTCATAATAAAACTCCAGCAACACCTCAGTCTGGACCAGCAAATGCTTCTGAGGGTCAAAAAGCATTCTATCAAATTCAGGACCCTGGGACATATACTCAGCTGGTTCTCGAAACAGCCGTCATAGAAATACTCTCTCTTCCAATATCTGCTTCTCAGATTGTGTCATCTCTAGTTCAAATTGTTGTTAACATACAACCAACACTGATTCAATCCAGCAATGGTTTGCATGGAGCTTCCAATGGTTTGGGGCAAGGTTCAGTTTTACCAACATCCCCTTCGGGAGGCAGCACAGATTCTTTGAGTGCAGGCAGATCGACTCCTTCTGTATCAGGGATCAACACCTCTAGTTTTGTTTCACGAAGTGGTTATACATGCCAACAGCTATCATGCTTGTTTATCCAAGCTTGTGGTCTGTTGTTGGCTCAGCTCCCTCCTGAGTTTCACTTACAGCTTTACATGGAGGCATCACGTATAATAAAAGAAAGTTGGTGGCTATCTGATGGGAAGAGATCAGTGGGTGAATTAGACACAGCTGTCACCTATGCTTTGTTGGATCCAACATGGGCTTCCCAAGATAATACCTCCACAGCTATAGGTATTGTATCATTCATGGCATTGATTTATGTTGACTTTTTTTGGGTGAGAATATTCGTATTAACTCAATTTCATGTTTGCTTTATCCCCTTGTTGACTTGAAGCATTCCAATTTGCTGAAATTGCAATAATTTAATTCTGAAATTGTTTTTAAAAAGGTTTAAAGTCATGAATGGCCCATAAAATGTTCAATGTGGTTTATTAACTTCAAAAATCTCTAATGTGGTACTTGAACTAAGAATTTGTTATCTAATGTGGTACTCACCCTTGATGTGGTTAGCTTCAAATAATGACACGTGGTGGAAAAACAATCTTTCAAGTACCACATTAGTTAACAGATTCATAGTTCAAGTACCATATTAAATATTTTTAAAGTTTAACAAGTACCACATTAGTTAACAAATTCATAGTTCAAGTACCATATTTGAGATTTTTAAAGTTTAAGTACCACATTGAAAATTTCACTATAGTTTAGAGCCATTCATAACATTAACCCTTTTAAAAATTACAGAATATACAAACGTACCTCTGAGAATATGGATGAAGATTTACAATTTAATTGTTTTCAAGATTAGAGAGGACAACTAACTTGAATTTCTCATGAGTGACTAATTGAGGCAAGCAAAAATGATACTGATTCCATGCATGGCTGAGTTAGTTTATGCTCATAAGGTCAATGCAGATCCTCAACAATTCTGCAAGGGAAACAATGTAGTCTCTATATTGATATTGATACAAGATAGGATCATGCTTATTGAAGGGTTAAACTATTAGACATCTGTTTTATTAATTATATATTTTTATGTGTTCAATTATTATTTTAGTATTTAAAGAATTATTAAGGCTTTTAGGATTGTATTGGGTATATTGTATTTATATTAGGGTTAAGGTGTAACTTATAAATATGGAAGTCATTCTAGTTTCTAGTTGCTTCAAAAAACGAGCTGCTGAGAAGTGAGATATGCTCTAAGTAGTGAATCCCCTCTTGCTTCAGTCTCTTCTTCCCCCTATTTCCTTTGTTTCTCCCTCCTTTCCGAGATTTCTATCTGATCTTTATTCTCCCTCTTTTACTCTCTTATACCTCACCAGATATGTTCTCTTTGATTTACTACTTAGAGGTTGATAGCTGGGGAACAATCTTATTCCCCCTCCCTTTCTCCCCCACCCCCATTATCTCTCTCTCTCTCTCTCTCTCTCTCTCTCTCTCTCTCTCTCTCACACACACACACACACACACACACACACACACACATACTTACACATACATGGATATGCAAGCACATCTTATTTGCCTCTTTCTGCATTTGGCTATTATATTCATTTTACTGAAGTGGATTTGTCCTGAACATAGCCATCCATACCTTCATAAAGGGAAGGGGACAATTTCTGTCTGGTCTTCTCTTTTCAAGAACTTTAAGATTAGTGCTAGACTACTACTTTTGGATGCTACATTTCTACTGATTCACACCCTTTCTGCTTGCTTCTGATGATTGGTTATCTATCAAAAAATAAAATTTAACGAATAAGACAATAAAATGTTATCATCCCTAGTGAAGTTCAAACAGATGATAATCATTCATCCATTGTGCACCTTCAGCTTTTCATCATCGATAATTTTATATTTTAAACATCCAGATGTCTTATCATAAGGTCTTCCAGCTTCCATACTTGACAGTTATATTAAAAGTGCCAGTGCCAACACAATGACTTATCATTCTATACTGACTTGCACTCTGATTATTCCACTGTTGTATCAGGTAATATAGTTGCATTGCTTCATTCTTTCTTCAGCAACCTTCCACAAGAATGGCTAGAGGAAACCCATGTCATTATTAAACATCTCAGGCCAGTAACATCAGTTGCTATGTTGAGAATAGCATTCCGTATAATGGGCCCCTTGCTTCCAAGACTTGCCAATGCTCATAATCTTTTCAACAAGGTATAACAGTCAATTTTTCATATCTTCTTGAATGTTTTGTCTCTAGATGAGTTAGATTTCTTTTTATTGGAAGCTTATTTTGTTTTATTAATTTCTCCTGTATTGCTTACCTAAGATTTAACAAACTTCTGGTTGTGGAGGTTTTATCTTGAATATGAAACTACCATCACTTCATCATATAGAGTTTGACGTCCACTTTGGAGATTCTAAGTTAGCAAACTTGTTCTTTTGACAGTAATTTATCAACATGCTTACACAGATGTAGCTTGTAATCACATCTACCCTTTCATGTGTACTTGTCCTTGGCTCTGGTGCATCATTAGGTGTTATGTTGCATGTCCAAACAATTGAAGTTTCGACCTTAAGAAAAGAAAATCTTCAATTGGTTCCATCTCCAACATACAAATGACAATTATTTTATCCTATTGGATAGCAGTTAGGAGTTGCAGTATGGTTTTGACAAATATTATGATATTATTATTCTGAAAACTAAAAGTATATAGATTGTGAAATATTAGAGAAAGATGCACACACAGACAGTGCAAAATATTAATCTTGAAATCTTAATGTAGGACAGGTAACTCACAACTCAAATATTAATAAATCTCAATAAGTCATTCATCACAAGCCCTCCGTTCTCCACCACTTAATGTCTTGAACCCCAAGTCTCCAAAATATTAGTCTTTGTAGTTGGACATCAACCAACAAGAGGTTCTTTTTGGTTTTATAACAAATCATATGGCAAGATGATTTAGCAAAAGGCTTATGTTCTAAAGAAAACAGCATTAGGATGCTGACATGCTTGGTATATGGTATATTGGTATTTGAATAAGTATAGAATCTTTAGTAGAAAATGAAAAGAAAGGGAAAACCTTGGCTGATATTGTGGTCAGGATACCAATTCATTACTAAACCATTTCAGAGACAATATTTACCATTGAACTACTATTTGGGATTGTTGGGAGCATTCCCTTAATAACAACGAAAAAGGGGTAAGTTCCCACTCTTTGTAATTATGCCAAAAATTTATTAATTTGATGGACATGATCGCATGTCTTATGATTTTATTGTGGACCTGCTTTTTATGCATATTTTCAATTTCTCTACCACAGCAAGCATAGTCCATTTTTTTGAGGTTAACATTTAACTATGCATGATTTGGTTTCGTATGCTTAATTTTCATTAATTGTCTTTCAGGTTCTGTCATTACTTTTAAATACATTGGTGGATGTATTTGGGAAAAACTCTCAGACACCTGTTCCTGCGGATGCGTCAGAGATAACGGATATCATTGATTACCTGTTAGTATTACTTTTTTTTTTCCTTGGTAGAAGGTTTAATCTTTCCTTTATCTTTGCTTTAAAGTACTTTGATGTGTGCCTCATTCATGTTCTTTTCAGTCATCATGTCATCCACTATGAAGGACAAGGAGGGCCAGTGCAGGCTAACAGCAAGCCTAGGCCAGAGGTCTTGGCTCTTTGTGGGAGAGCTGCTGAAAGTCTACGTCCAGATGTACAGCATCTTCTATCCCACTTGAAACCTGATATTAACTCTTCAATATATGCTGCTACCCATCCAAAGTTAGTTCAGAATCCCCCCTGACAATTAGTTGCCCAGCATCCTTCATGAGTTGATTGTGTTCAAGCCACACCTTTATCACCAAAAAAAGTTTGTGTTTAACTGCCGTTCCTCGTCCCATAAGTTTTGCTGTAGTTTCTGGCCATCAGGTGGCGACACAGAATCAAAATACTTTCCAATTTTGATCACAGAGGTAAGGGCACCATTTTGAGAACTAGAGCTGTCTGCAGATGTTTTTTATGCCATTATAGAAAACAAGCAACACTGTTGATAAGATATGACCTATATAACTCTTACGGCTTTAGCAAAAAGCTTAGACCAAGCTTCCAGTGTTGACCACCCATAAAGCATCGTTATCTGATTGTTCTAATGTAGAAAACCAAGCACATACTGAAGTGCATATTGTAATATATTTAGTGGCTGGGTTTTTAATATAATATCATATAAGTTTGTATGTGAACCAAAATTTTAAGAGGATGAAATGGGATTGCTAATAAAGAGTGTTTTTCTTGACACACTTGATATTAGTCTTCTTTTATACTAAAAATCGCACCCCCTTCGCTTCAACATGCAAACTTGATAACTCTTTAAGTTGGAGTTTCAAATTCCACCTAGCAGTGGCAACAGGACGGGTACTTGATATTTTCGAGGTATCTGTATCCAAACTTAATGATTTATCGTACTACCTGAATCCGTTGATTACTCGGATCACTTTGATTTTTGCTATTGGAACCTTATCTTGTCCGAACCTGTTACATATCCTATTATGAGGTTCTTTTGTTCCCCCTTGTCCTTTCATATTTGCAAAAAGGATTTAGTAGTCAATTTAAAAGAAGTGATCAACAAATGGGCATGAAAATTATCCAATCATTTCTGGAGATTTATAGCGAAGCAAGATCAACGTCTGCCTAGCATTTGCCTGGCTTCAGGTAGCGGCCAACCTGCTTGAATCAGCCAAACCCCCAGACCCCAGTCCCCTACTGACCATCAATTGTTTTGAACTAAATTGACTCTTTTTCAGTACCAATTGGGACCTGAAAGGTAGAGAATAGAACTGAAATCCCCAACCAACTAATACGACTTCAAGAGAATAGTTGTTGAGAATATTTGACTCTTCTTTTGGGTAATAAACTCTCTCCAAATGTCATTGGACACATGTTTTTCACTTGAAAACAAAGTGCAAATTATTCGATGTTAAGATATTGTTGGTTGGATAGCTCTGGGCTTCATAAAATATGAGGTCAGAGCGTAAGAATATGGTGTTACATTTTTAGAATTGAGAAAAGTATCTTGCTTTTTTGATAGTTGGTGTTAAGCATGGTGATGAAATTAAAAAATTGCATCGCTTAATCTATTGGATTTTTTAAAAATGAAAAATAGATTTGGAGTGACAAGTCATATTACTATCCTTAGCTATGAATAAAGGTGGTAATTACTTCAATTTTAGCTTGATGGGAATAATTTTTATCGGATTATAATGATGTTTTATTATTGAATTTTAAAGATTTAATTATAAAATAATATTATAATTCGATAAAAGAAACTTTTCTCATATGTAAAGGACCTTTAGTTTGAAAATGTTTTTTTTATTATTTTTGTTTCAAAAATTTTGAAATTGAATACTGTCTTCTTTAATGAAAAGTTTGAGTGAATTGTATAATTAGTTTGTGATTTTTTTTAATGTTTTATTTTATTTATGGCCTCAAATTTTTAATTTTATTAAACTCCAACAATCTGTCAACATGCTATAAAAGTATGAAAAGGATCTCTTCTCCCATTTGTATTTTTTTTTTTAATTTACGGCAAATTTCATCCATATTCTCATGGTGTTTTAATTTGAAATAAATTTAAAAGATCGTGAACAAGAAATCAAATATTTTAAGTTGTCGACGAAAATAGAATATTATGAAAACTTAAAATAGAAAGAGTAATAATCCCTTTACAAATATAACATTTGCAACTAAAGGAAGACTAAAAGTAGCATCTATTTATGTTGAATTAATAATTTATAAAAAAAATGTATTTAAATAAATATTTTGAAGGTTAAAATATAAGATTTTGAATAAAAAATTACGAATTCCAACTTTGAAATAAAAGAGTTGATATTTACGACAAGGGTGAGAAATGGTGACTTTGCTTGTACATTATGGGTTTGAATAATTTATAAACAGCATACTAATCAATATTTTATAAAAAAGTTTATAAATGTTAAGATTTAAAAATAATTATATAAATAAATTAAATTAAAATTTTAAATTTATACTTATTAATAAATTATTTTCAATTAAAAAATGGAAGTGATAAAAAGTAAAAAGTTGAACATTAATGAAATGAAAATAACATAAACATAAAGATGAAAGGAAAAGAGTAAGGAATAAAAAAATGAAAATGAAGTTCTTTGACATATATTTTTTTTGTAAGAAAATAATTTAAATTAGTTTAGTCTCTTATATTAAAATAAAATATATTATATTTAATAATTTAAAATAAATAATTATAAATTATGTATTTAAAATAATTTTAATAAATGATCATTGATAAAATTTAAATTTAAAAATTTTTTTATAAAAATAATAATTTTAATGATTAAATTAATTATTTATTGATAATATATCTAGTGATATATAGATATCAAATAATGAACTGGGTTAAGAAAAGGACTTAAAAACAGTTGGAAAAGCAAATATTATTTGAATTTATTCACGCTGCCCGTACCCATACCAATACGCAAAATGAAAATCTCTTTCTCTCATTGGATGTGAAGTTTGACGAAAACTGTACGTTATGTTATGGTTCACACAACTTGGTGCGGTAGCCCATAGGCCTGCCCACCAAATAAAATAATAATAAATAGATCACTGAAAACGTGACGGGATATTATTTTTTTTTTTGAATTGGGGTTTCTGAAACCACCGAAATCCTCCATCTAATCTATGGATGAGAATTTTAAAAGATTAAAAAAAAAAAAAAAGGTTTGTTCACTTGATTTTGGTATATTTTGGAAAGCAAATGGACATAGAAATTGGATTTTTTTTTTTAATGATTTATGAAAGGACAACCACTCATCTCATCGATCTACATGATATTACTTCCATTGTCTTTCTGTGAGCACGTGAACCTTGTGTCTAATTTTGAGGAAACTAATAGCCCATTCTAATTTTTGGAGACGGCCTTTTTTTTAAAAAATCTTTTCTGCCATTGAAGGTTTTTTTGGAATGCTATTGGAAAAAATCTCGAGACAGTACTATACTTGGTTGCTAAAGTTGAACAAGTATGAAACTGGTTGCCGAGGGCTTAGCCTGGCCAAATAACCAAAACTGAATATTAGGGTTGGAAAGATTAAGGTCCATTTGGCAGCGTGATGATACCATGACTGCCTCACAGCATCGTGAAAATCCCTCCCATGGTGCTGTCAACCTTAAGAGCAGCCAAGCAACCTCAATTCAACATTCTTCAACAAAATCCATATCAGACCTTAAAATGGGACACAGCTTTAAAATCTAAACATGTTAAGACACATTGAAAGGGATAGTCTTGCCAAAGTTAACCTTGCATTGTTTAGTTACAAAAAATGCAAAGATTACTCCAAATAAAGCAAGAAAAACAAAGCATTAGATGATTCAGAACTAAATAGATGAGATAGAATCTTAGTATTGTATTATTTCTACCATGTAACATCAATTGAATGGTTACAAAGTAGCAAATCGTCCACACTAAATACAAAGAAAACAAAAAGGGTAATAAACCTACACCAACTACATATTAAACTTAGTTGATGGAAATTAAGCAAAGTCAGGATTACAGTTCTTTTAATTAGAGATACAAAACGCCAATTACTTACATTTTCTACCACACACTATATAAACTTGCATTAACTTCCTTCTAATGCCGAATCATAGATCATGTTTCCCTCATTACTTGCCCAGAGAGAACAACCCTGCTGCAGAGATTACAGCAAAGTTCACGCATTGGATTCCAAGGTAGCATAATCTAAAGACTGCTTGGTAAGATTGTATGGAGCTGCACTCATAACCCTACAACAGCAAATAATGGGCTTTATTTGAGCACGCGATCAGAAGTCCAACTTCTATTGACAACAATAACTTATATAAAACTTAATAACTGAAGGCAGCCGATTTTTAGGATTATAATTCTATATAACCATAAATACATGTCCAACTAATATAGCAATAATTTTATAGGCACAGAACAAATTCCAAGCTAAATTCTTTAACCTCAACTCCATCGAGAGATGTTGACAAAGGGAAATTTTTTTTCATGGTTTCTTTGAATTCTCTCCCTTAATCTCTCCTTACATAAAGAGTGTAACACCAAACTTGCTCATAAGCATAAAATCCCAATCAAAGACAGGCACATGTAGCCAATAACTGAATAACACAGTAAAGTAGCCTATACATGCCTTAAAGCTCAAGCTAAATACCCAACATAATCTGGATTCATGCCTCAACCATGATTTTAAACACCAAGTTAGGGATTAATATTATGCATCCTAGATGTCTTGCAACTTCTGGCCTCTACCATGATACAAAAGAAACATAGTCAACTAGTAGTTTAAAAGATTTTCAAGAACCATATTTAGGATGAAAGTACAAAAATATCTTGTACAGCAACTAACCTTTCCTTGCGCTTCTCCAAAAATCGAGCCAAGGAAGCTTTGCGAGCCTGTGGAACTGCAGGCAAACAATTTGGAATCATTTATAAATGAAACTTCATTGATACGCCATGTTCCAAACAGTTTATTTAGCTAAAAAATAGTGCAAGCTAATATAAAAGCATGCAAATTTCTTTTGTAATTTCTGGAATATGCATGGTTAACAAAATGGTCAGAGATAGTTCAGTTTCTTTCCAAGACCAGAAACTTTTTCCTTGAAGACAACACAAAGAACGGAAATCTTTAAGAGCACAAGGGCATACCAGAAGGCATCATGCCCGTTGCAGCAACAGATTCTATGGTATTCACTAATTTTTTAGGCTCCACTTTGCTGATAGGGGTTGTTGGAGTTCGTGTGGTCTTGCATACCATCAGTTCTTCAGTGCCAGAGGACCCACTCCTGGACTGAGAACCAGTATGAGATGAAACAGATAAAGGGCTTGAGATACCAGAGCTCAGTTGTGTATTTATGAGCTGGTTTGCAGGAACATTATCAACTTGAACTGGCTTTGAAATAGGTGTCTGGACTTGGAACTTTGGATGTGCCACATTAGAAGCCATGGAGGACCCATTCCCAGCCAGGAACATGATAGCCTGAGCCTGTATAAGATTCAAAAGAAGTAACTTTCTAAGCTCTGCACTGACTGATAGATTGCAACAAAAGCTTATTTTCTGAAAGAGAAAGAAAGAGAAGCACCTTCTCAGGGGTGATATCATCATAGACATTCACTGTACCCGCATAAAAGATAGTCAATTGAGCAGGTGATCCAGAGGCCTTGACAATTTTCCTAATTATAAAAATAAAATTCCGGCCAAGCCAAGTTTGAATATCTTATTGTTAACAAATTTGCTAAAGTAACTGAACTCAAGCATAAATGTTTAAGTTTACCATGGTTCAATACTTCCACCAACAGAACCAAGGGTGGGAAGAATAGTATATGGAGTTGTCACTGGAATTCCTCCAAGTACTTGTGGCTTCTTAGTATTAACGGGAAAATTTTGACCAGTGGTTGCAAAATGATTCTTCATGAATGGGTTGCTCATAGAAACAGAAATTGCCTGGTTTGAGACTGGAAACATCTTCACATCATAAGGATATTGAACAGGATGTACATCATGTTGAACAGAACAAGCTGTCAATGGGAAAGGACTGCCACCTTGCCTATTGTGATTGAACAATTTCTAGATGGTAAAGACGGGAAAATGAAAGCAATATCAGTTAACTATTCACATAGAATTGGATACAGTGCCAACCAATAAATTAAAAAGCTTTCCAAAAAAACCCATGTAAATCAAGGTGCAGCTCTATCTGCATGGTGAAGTGATGCCTAAAGAAGGTTCATTCCTCTCATAATTTGATAAACAAGAAAGAGATTTTTCATTTTAGAAAAAGAACAAGATCCAGGAAAGCTGTTAACATAGACTCAGTTGAAACGGTCATAAAGCAGCTAATCCACAATAGCAAGACAAGGGAAGATGCCAAACCTGAACTTCAGCAACATCTGCTGTTGAGATAGGCATGAACCCAGGGGAAACTAGTGAATCAGATCCAACCTTTTTACTTTTATCTCCTTGAGCAAAATTAAAATTCATCAACTGTGGAACAGCAGAAACCTTGTTTGAAAAGGGCCATTGTAGCCCTGAGCTTTTAATATAACCTAAAATCCCAAATAAAAATTACAAAAACCACCAAAATTAGATAAATGCAAAGTTTTATGTAAAGATAAACATAACAGGCACAACTTTATAACTAAATACACAAATTAACATAAGTAATTGCAGGAAATATCCAAACAAAACAAAGCTATCTATTTCCAACCACCAGTACCCTAAAGGAAATTTATCCATCCTTTTTTTTTATGTGCCAATCATATAATTGCTTACACGATCCTAATCCTGTAATAGAATTATAACAATAAAAGAAAAAAAAAATAGAAAAGACAACTTGTTTTCATAGCACAGTGCTAACAAATGGATTTTTATCAGAATTATCCAAAGAAATAAAGAAATAAACTGTATTAAACAAACACTTCTTATAAAAAAAATCCACATTTAATCCTTTCTATTTTTTCCACTCAAATATCTTTAATTCTACCATCCATACAATACAAAGAACAAAAAAATTTTCCAAATTCAACCCAAAGCCAAATTTTAGTACAAACAAAAAATCACCAACACCCCCACCCCAAAAAAAAAAAAAAAACTAAACTTTAAAGAACTTCAGCGAGAGAGAGAGAGAGAAGATACACACCTAGTTCTTTGTACCCATCAGTGTTAACCTCTTCCTTAACCACCGCCAATGATTCCTTTGAGTTCAAACCCAGAAAATCTCTCTCCATTTTTCTTTCACTCTCTCAATTCAAAATTCAAGCAAAAACCACCTTAAAAATCCAACCAAAAATCCACATAAAGAAAAATATTTCACTTTCTCAAATCCCCTCTACGCTTTTTCTTCTCCACCAAACATGAAAAAACGGAAAGCCAAAGACCAAAGCTTTATAACTGCAGGCACAGCAAGAGAGTTGTTTTATAGTACAAAGGTCTTGACCGTTATTTATCCTTTTTTTTTTTTATTTTAAGATTAAAAAAATTCTTTTTTAAGCAAGTTTGGAAATTACGGGAAATAACCGGTAAGGCAACCGGATAAACCCGTAACTCAACACGTGGTTTGAGGCTTTAATTTCCTGACACCACTTGTCGGTTATGGAAGCACATGTGTACTGTCTTTGGTCTGAAAGATTGACACGTGTAAAAAACTCGTGACGAAGTTTTTTTCTCCTCGCTCGTGACTTAATTGCAAACGCGTTTTTAAATTTTTATATTATTTTTGGTGGCCGATTAATCGGGAAATAACTGCGTGGTACTCGCCGCTTTTTTTTAATAAAAAATATCAATGCTTTTTTATTGAATCGGAGGTGTGCCTCTAAGATCAAAAAGAGGACACCTGTACCTTTTTTAGCACAACCACAAATGTTTTGCTACGTGGCACCAGATAAATGAATTCATTTTATTTACTGAACTCGAATTAAAAAAAATTTAAAATTCAATCTAATAATATATGATAAAATAATATAAAAATAATTAATAAAATAATTTAAAATTTTTTAAAAAATTATTTATGATTTAATAAAAAATTTTTTTTTTAAATTGAGTTGATTTATTTATATAATACAAAATATTAATAATTTATATATATAATTTTTAATACGAAAATTATATATTATAATTTATATAAATAAAAAAATTTTAAAATATAGTTTTATTTCTATTAAACCATATATAATATCTTTTAAAAAAATGATGCAAACAAAATAAAAAAAAATATATAAAGGGTAGTTGCAAGGATAAACATCCATGTTTACCGCCTTCTTAAAATTATATTAATAGACAAGATAAATTATTTATATTAAACCCTTAAAAAAAATTATTTATGTAAAACAGTGACATATTTCAATGATTTTAAATGAAATTTGAATTTTTAAATTTTATTATTTTAATATATTTATATTGGACTTTAAAGACAGATATTTAATCTTACAATTCTTCGAACTTTCCAACTAAATAAATGCTAACATTTATGATGTAATGGCCAGATGAATATAACGTTGTTGTAATATAAATGGTGGTGTAAATTATAAAACGCCTTTATTTATAATTAAAATAAACTTTTTTTTAAAATATGGTTAAAAAAAAGAATAAATTGTCTAATTAATTTAATTAAAAATAATTTAAGAAAATTTGAATAGCAACTTATTAAAGGTAAGACTTGGTTATTTAGAAGTAAATAATTGTAATTAATTTAATCAAAATATTTATTCAAGGTAATTTGATATGTGGAATATTTTAATTGTTATTAAGAAATATTTAATGTAAGTTTTAATAATATCTTTGAAATCAAATTTATTTTATTGTTCAAATTTTAGATTTTATTTTTGAAATGTAAAATTAATTACATGATACATGTCAAATTTTTATATTATCCCCATGTTAAAAGAATAGGTTATCCACATTAAATAATTTTTTTTGTTAGAAATTTTGATTTTTTTATATTTACATAAATTGTAATTTCAAAAAATTACTAAAAATAAGTTTCTTTAATATAATTTTTGTATTGTTTCTCTCTTTTGTGACCCAAAATTTTGGCTTTCAGATTTTTTAGGAAGCCTTTAATTAGTTTATTGATAATGTATGATGGAGAAATGATTAGTTTGAAATCAAAGTTATTAATATCATATCGAACATTTCGAATTTTTTTTAAAATATGATATATATATATATATTGGTACCAGTTATTTTGATATATTATTTCTGATTATCAGTTTAGTATAAATATATTTATAAACATACATAAACTTATACATTATGATATTATTAATAAGTCACAAAATAAATATTTAATACATCCAAATTAAATAAATAAGTTAAAAAACATAAAAAAACGATATCATAAAATTTTCATGATATTTTTAAATACTTAATCTGATCATATAATATTTAAATAAATATTTTTATTATAAATATTAAGATAAAAATAAAAAGATGAAAAAAATTAATCAAAACTTTATGATTGTTAAACTTTATAAAATTAGTATAATTGTTTACTTAAAAAAATTTAAATATTTATAAATTTTGGTTTGAAAAAATAAAATATAAAATTATAAACTTTGATTTGAAAAAATAAAGTATAAAAACAGTTAAAATAAAAAATAAAGATACTCAACTTTTAAGAATTATTTTATCAATTAATTTTATTTTTATTAAGTTAAAAATAATTAAATAACAAAAAAAAATTAAAAATTACAAAATATATTTCACGTTCACGCACCGATTGAAATATATTATTTCACCAAAATTTATTGAAACAAGTAAAAACTAACGAAAATAATCAATATTACTTGATATTAAATCTGATAAAAAAATATTTTTAAATATATTATATTTTAATATAATTAAAGCATATCAATTGATACGACTGATATTAAAATAAAATTGATAATTATATTTCAAACCCCAAATAATATCATTACTGGAATCCAACCTGACAATAAATATATAACAATAAATAATGTAACAAAAAAAAGTTAATAATGTGCCATACAATAAACAATACAAGAGAACAAGAACATGTTGGCCAAAGCCTCTATCAGTCCTTTTTTTTTTCCTTAAGTTCCATCAATTGACTTGTTTATATCAAAAAAAAAAAATTTGTGAAAATTCATCTCTTTTTTCGAGTTGTCTTGATCAAAATTCCCTAGATTTGATCAATGATTATTTTTGTCTTTCCTCAATTTCATTGGTGGTGCAAGAAAGTAATCCTTGACTTATTTAAATGGTATAGCAAGCAATTCGTGTTCAACGCAGAATCATATGATGTTCAATTCAAAATCATCAAAGGAAAATAATATTAATTGGTATTACATATAGCTGCTAGCCTAGTTAGTTTGTGATCATTAAAAAATTTTTGAATTTTGTTTCTATAAATCCTCTTTTCTGATTAATCTAAATATATTTTATTTACATTGTACTTAACGAAATTATAAAAAATATATATTTTTACAGTTTTTTAATAATAATATAGAGACATTCTTTAATCTTTTTATTACTTAAGCCAACAATCCATTGATAAACTAAGTTTTTTTTTTTTTGGCCAATAACCTGTCTAAGCTTTTGAGTTTTTTTTTTTTTTTTTTGGATGCTCGAGGAAAGAGGGGACTTTAAGATTTTGTAAGAAATGTTGTTTGGGCCAATTATACATAGAGAAGGTAAAAATATCTGAAATTGATGGTTTCGATTCAATTTGATTTGTTAAGATTGAATTTTTTTTTGAAAATCAAGTATCAGATCAAGTAGGATTGAGTGACATAAAAAAATTTTAGATTCAGGTTGAAGTCGAGTTTTAGGTAAATTTGATCTGATATATATAAAAAAATTATTTTTTAATTAATTTTTTAATTTTATATTTAATTTTATATATATTTAATTTTATATTTATATTTAAAATAATATTTTATTAATTTCGAATAAGATCGGATTCGATTTTATATAATATTAGATCAGATGAGATTCGAGTATTAAAAAATAAAAAAAATTATCGAATCAGATACGAATACGAATTTTATATGTTTAAAGTCGGATTGAATTTGAAACAAGTAAAAATTCATCCGATCCGATCCATTCCCATCACTGATTGTACATTGGACCAATCACATGCTGATTTCTTGACTGTTATTGAAGCACATGTGAAAACTAACTTGCTTTGGAAATGGCTTTTTCGGGGGGCTCCTCAGATCCTATAAAAGATTTTTCCATGTGATGTGCTTCTGCTTGCTTCCAAGAAATTTTGTTTCAGATTTTATCAGCAAACTCTCCCCCTGGTTGGTTTGGCAAACATGATTCTTGTGGATTATGTGTCAAAATTATAAAGCGAAAATTTCAGAAAGACTCATGATTTTTTGCAATATGGATATTGGTTTCTTCTTTTGAAGTGTAGCAGTGAATCCAGCCTTGAGAATTGAATATAGAACAAAGGGTTGTCAGAGACACGGAAGATCTGTATCAGGAGAAAAGAAAAGGTGAAAATCTGACAAAATTATTTTCTTTAGCAGTTGCCAATTTTAGACCATGCAAGATATATATAATTATTATACGTACAGCTACTTAATAAATATTTATCCAGACAATATCAAATAATTGATAATACAAAATTAACACAAATAAAAGGTATAAAAATGATTAGTACAAAAAAAATAGAAAAAAAAGTTCCAGAACCAACAAGAAAGCTACTAAGAAGGAATGCCATTATTTTTCATGAATCAAATGACATCTAGATTACATTTTGGAATGGATACATATATAAATAGTACATTTTAACGTTACAAAGTTGCACAGATTAAAATAAAACTAATCAATGAACTCTTAGTAGGACTCTATTTCCTAACAGTACTCAACAAACTAACAAAATCTAACAATAAATAAAAAGTAATTGTAGAAATTGGCCTAAAAACACTCCAAGACTCTTGATTTAATCTTAAAGATTATTGAAATAACATAATGTTAAAATAAAGTCCAAGTACTAGTTTTTAACACTTCCCTTTAGTGCATGTTTATTATCAATAACTCCAAATGCAACTATAAATATTTCAAACTTTGACTTTGCTAGAGCTTTTGTAAAAATATATGCAACTTGCTCATTTGTTCCAACACTTTCCAACTTTATTTCTTGGCCTAACACTTTTTCTTTGACAAAGTGATGATGAACTTCAATATGCTTTGTCCTTGCATGAAATACAAAATTTGAAGCAAGTTTGGTAGCACCTTCATTATCATGATAAATTTGCACTACATAGTTAGTTTCAGAAAAAATCTCCCACTAAATGTTTAAGCCAAATATACTTAAAACACTAAAAAATGCTCATAGCATAGCTTCCTGGAGACACAAAATATCCTTGGTTTGACTTTTCAACTTCAAGACCAAGAAAGCATCTAGCCTCACTCAAAATTTTCATTTCAAAATGAGTTGAAAGGTTATCCCTTAGACAAGAAATTTTAGATTCATTGTCCCCACTAATTATCATGTCATCCACATATAACAAAACCAACACATGCATATTCAATTCTAGTTTAACAAGTAAATTAGAATCTGAGTCTGAAACTCTAAAACCACAAAAAGTAAGGTGTTGAGCAATCTTACCATACCAAGCTTGTGGTGATTGTTTCAAGCCATAAAATGCCTTTTTCAATCGACAAACATGATGAGGAAATTGAATAGAAATGAAACCTTTAGGATGTTTCATGAAAACATCATGGTTTAGCTCTACATAGAGAAATGCATTCTTTACATCTAGTTACCATAGCTTCCAACCTTTAAATGTAGTAAGCGAAATAATTGATCTCACAATCACCATCTTCGCAACTAGACTAAAAATCTATTCATAGTCCAACCCATAACTTTGAAAGAATTTATGAGCAACAAGTTGAGCCTTATGTCTCTCAATCATTCCATTTGGTTTCTTTTTCAATCGATAAACCCATTTACAAGTCACTGGTTCATGATTCTCTGGTTTGGGTACAAGCTCCCAAGTTTCATTCTTTTTCAAGGCTTCAATTTTTTCTTGCATCACTTTTTCCCATTCAAGACATCTTTTAGCTTTATTATAACATGCTGATTCTTTATCTAACATTCCTTAAAAGAAACATGAAGTAACTGAACAATAGTTTAGTTATACTTCATAATCTTTGAGATGATATGGCTATCTTATTTTCTTTGTTAATCTTCTTGTAACATGTTCACCACTTACTGAATTTGTGTTTTTAAGTCTAGATGGCAAAAAAGCTTTATTTTTTTCATGTTCAGAACCATCATCACTTGAAGCTTGCATATTTAGCTCAGGAAATGGCTTCAAGTTCTTTAAAGCATCACCATCAAGGATAGTACCATTGTTAGTGAGTTTTGAGGTGAAATAGGAAGATGATGCCTCATCAAACACAACATCCCTTAAAGTAGTGAATTTTTTTATCTTTAGATTCATACACCTCCACCCTTTCTTGTATGAGTCATAGCCAACAAATACACATTTCTTTGCCCTCAGAACAAGTTTAGTTCGATTTTGTTTAGGAACATAAACATAACAAGTGGATCCAAATACATGAAAATAATTTACATTTAGCTTTATTTCATACAATAGCTCAAAAAGAGACTTTCCTCTACCTGGCCATGGAGGTAATCAGTTTATCACATGACATACACGCTGAATGGCTTCTACCCATAACTCTCAAAAAAGTTTTTTATCGTGTGGCCATAACAAACTTGTTGCACAAAGGTGAGCCAATTTACATTCAATGACTCCATTTTGTTGAGGGGTTTTTGGACACATTATTTGGCGTTGAATGTTATTGTTATTGCAATATTTAAAAAATTCATCTGATATGTACTCACCACCAGCATCACTTCTTAAACATTTTATCTTTCGACCAAATTCTTTCTCTATGGAGTTCTTGAACTCAATTAATTTAAACAAGGCTTCACTTTTTCCTTTCAAAAAATACACCTAAGTGAATCTGAAGAAACCATCCAACAATACCATTGTATAGTGATAACCACCATAACTTGGTGTTTTTGTTGGGCCCATCAAATTTGTATGCATTAGTTTAAACAAATTTGACCTACGGTTAGATGAATTTTTTAAAGGAAAATGATGTGATTTACCATATTGACATCCCTGACAAATCACATTTTCTTGTACATGTTTGAGGGCTGGAATTCCATCTCGTAGCTTTTTTAAGAAGATTATCTTCAACATTTGATAGCCTAAATGGCTTAACCATGCATGCCAAATTGTCGCATTGTTGATTCGGCTTGTTTTTTTTTCATAAGTTTATTTTGCTGTCATTATGAACAAAGACCCATTCTTCTCATCAGTAAGAACTATTTCAACTTTGACATTTCTCACTTTATCAAGTATTTTGACATTGTTTGGCCTAAACAAAACATATTTTCTAGAGTTAATAATTTAAGAAACTGAAATTAGATTTTTCTTCAAACCTGGAATATGGTAAAATATCGTTTAAAAGAACACTCCTAACCTTGGATTCATCATCGGGCTTCAAAACACTTTTTTTTATTGGATGAATTGAGTTATCGACTGTAATGATTACACTCTCCTTCTTATGCTTTCACAATTTTGATAGTAGCGAAACATTACTGATCACATGATACGAACATCCGGAGTCTATAATCTAGTTGTCTTTGTAGTTAATGTAGTTAACAAAAGCTTCAACCAAGTTTGGTTTGGTAGTATCAACATCATTATTTTAGACCATTTCAGTATCAAAACATTGCTCCCATCTAATTTAGTTATCTTTATCATCTTCGTATGCAACATTTGCCTTTGAGAGCTTAACACAACAATTCTTCTAGATGTGCCTAATTTTTTTGCATCTGAAGCACTTGATAGGATAATTGTCATTTCCTTTCCTTGCATTTGATCCCTTTGAAGAATTTTTGTTTTTAGTTACAGCAGCCTTCCCATTTAATTGGCCTTTTGAGAATAAGATAATTTCAAATTCAACATTTTTACTTGCCATTTGCTTAGCTAAGACCTCTTGATTGGAGAGTATGTTCTCTAATTCTTCAACTGATGGTTTTTGTATCCATCATTGGATTGAGATAATAAATGGCATATATTCTTTCTTCACTAATCTTCTTATTTAATTCTGAAATTTCAAAACAAATATTCTTAATTCATAAGAAATATTCTGAAATTAACATACCTTCTTCGATTATGGTTACTAACTCATTTTTCAAGAATTATAGTCTTGTCGTGTTCTTCTTAGTGAACACTTTTCTCCTACACTTGTTTTGGAAAGTTGACATCATGAACACGATCAATGTAATCTTTGCTAATTGAAGACTTCAACGTAAATAGTGCATTTCCACATTCGATCCTGCATTTCCTTCGAAGTTTGGCATTTTTTAGGGTATCTACTAAATTTTTTGTGTTAACACCAGTCACAATCTCCCACAAATCTTGACCTTATAGGTAATACTCCATGCACATCTTCCAATACTTATAATTTGTGCCTACAAGTCCTTCAATACCATATTGTATATGAAAATTTTCATTAATAGCTTCAATCTCTTAACTCTAATATCATAAAAAAAGCAAAAAAAAATAAAATTATAGAACTAATAAGAAAGCTGCTAAAAAGGAATGCTATTATTGTTTGTGAATCAAGAGACATCTACATTACACCTTGGAATAGAAATAGATAGACTTCACATTCCAACGTTACAAAGTTGCACTGATCATAATAAAACTAACCAGTTAATTCTTAATAGTACTTTATCTCGTAAGAATACTCAACAAACTAACAAAATTCAACAGTAAAAAATATATAATTGTAGAAACTGGCCTAAAACACTTTAAGACTCTTGACTTAGTCTGAAAGATTCTTGAAATAACATAACGATAAAATAAGGTCCAGAAATATACACTAATTTTAATAATAAGATTTAAAATTTTAAGAAAAATCATAAATAAATTTAACAAAATCAAAAAATATATTTTATATTTTGTGTCGACATAAATTGTAATACGTAATTTTTATATAAAATATGATATAAATACATAAATTATTAATATTTTATATGATACAATACATATATTATCATGTATGTTTTTTTGGTATGCTTGATCTTTGCTTTCGGCCACTTTAAAAGGCTAAATATTATGCCTTTTAATGTTGATATGCTAAAATTTTCCATTAATAGACATTGATTTTTTTTTCTTTTATCAATTAATCTTGTTATTATGCAGTTCTCCCATTGGATGAGAAATTCAGTAAGTCATTAAAAGCAAAGGCCCAAAGGCCAACATAAGGGTCAGACCAAGCCAATTTACAATAGCTACAAATGGTTTCAGGGTCAATAGTGCGAGACATAAAAAGCCCTAGGTCGGAGCGCGCCAGAAGTAAAACTCCAAACCCTTGAGGGGAGGATAATCAACTGTTGTGTCAAAAGTCTTACTTTCCAATTTAACTTTTAGGTTCGTTTATTTTCTGAAAAATAGTTTTATATTTTTAAATATTTATTTAGTAAAAAAATTAATTAATTAATGAAAAATAATTTATTGATTAACGAAAAAACAGATAATTTTTTTAAAAAAATTGTTTTATGAAAAATTTTTAAAAAAATTGTGTTATGAAAATTTAAAAAAAAATTTGTTTTATGAATTTGAAAAAAAAAAGATATTAAAAAAATTATTTATGACTAAAATTATTTATCGATATTTTTGAACATAATTTTACTTATAATTAATATTATATTAATAAATAAATATTATTATATTGATAAATATTATCATATTAATTAATAAATATTATAATAATATATTAATAAATAATATAAAAATAATAAATAGTTTTATTTTAAATACTTTTTATATTAATCAAATATTTTAATAGTAAATATTTATTATTAAAATATACTTATTTTTCAATATTAATAATTTAAATGATAAATAATTTCAATATACTTTAGTAATAAATAATTTTTTATATTTTAATAATTATATTAATATTATTTAAAAAAAAACAAAATTTTCAAAAAAAACCAAATAACAAAAAATATTTTCCGTTAACTCATCTAAATAATAAAAACTCTCTTTCAAATAATATAAATATCTTTCAAAAACATTTTTTAAAAGTGATTTTTTGTTAAACCAACAGAGTACGTCTTTAGTTGTACTTTTGTTGAAATGAAGCTTTCTTGATTTCTCCCTGCTTTTATCATTGGTTGCAGGCCTGTAGGCAGTGCCAAAATCAGCCATATCTTTACCTTACAGAGCTTACTACACGATCATTAACTGAATTGATTACTAAACACAAAAACAAGTGGACTCAGGCTTCCTCCAAGGACATTAACAATTATTGACAAGTGCACTAACAAATGTCAAACGGGAAAGAATTAAGGTTTTAGCGAAAAATTACAATATGAATTGACAGCTTTAAAACCAATGTAAAAGAAAATTCATGTACTCAATTGGTTACGAGGGGTTCACTGATTTCCAGGAGTTCATTAGACAGTCCTGTGAAGACGATGTGATCTGTTTCAATAGGCTTGAACTTGATAAGTGCTGAGGGGACCAACTGCTCTTCCTCTAGCGTTATGGGTTTCTCACTTGCTGCAGGAAAAGAAGGGATCACCCGCCGTTTAACCAGTATAGGATCTAACAGCTCAAACTCCAAGCAAGGTTCTTTCAGTGCAGAGCTGACAAACTGAAGATCAAAAAGAGCACAAATCATTTGACATTCCAACATATGCACATTAGATGATTGTCTCGTTAATTGCAGAAAAAAAAAATAGCTTACTCCCTCAATTAAGCATGAAGCTTTACAAATCATATTGAAAACAACAGTTCCACACATAAAGCTTTACCTTCCCCCCCCCGCCCCACCATGCTTGAAATGCATGAAGGTGAGACCAAAACCACCACCTCCAAAAGAAATAAGGATAAATAACAAAAAGCATTTGGTGCGGGATGCATTATGGTATGGTAAACTGAAAAAATGCAACTAATGCCAGATGCAGGATGGGCACTAAGTATTTCTGATGCAGTAATGCTTTGCAGACATAGAATCAGGTAGATTTTCATCCATGATTAAAATTTATATTAGGAGGAAGAGGTAATGTTCAAGGACAAGATAGTTTTACACATGGAATAGTGACAGTAAACTTTATGGTAAACATGTTAATTCTGCGGGAGGACATCAAGGCATTAATATTCAACGATTCTTCCATTAACATGAAAGGTCCTCATCTTAGGATCCTGAAAATGCAACAGGTTAAACAATTTTTGCTAAATGCAAACCAAAAAGGGACTTCATACAGGTAGATACAGGAGATATGTGAAATGGATACTGCTAATTTCTGGAGTAGGAGCGTTACATAAACAAAATGTTATTCTAAGTTGAAACAACCAACTATTCTAATGTTTTAAAAGGCTCTCGACTCTCATCTTGCACAACCAAAGTGCAACTAAGTTTCTCTGTTTGATACTAAAAACGTTAAGTATCCTGCTAGAAAGATATTTTCAGTGGGAAAACATGGCTTATGGACAAGATCTTAACCAATGCTGACATTCAACACCACTACCTGTAGATAAAGATACCTAACATGAAATAAGGCCTCAAAATTTGTTTAAATATCAACAGAGTGTATTTAACTCAATTGAAGAAAGTAATATGAACAACTAGACAACAGGACTAACCTCATAGAGAGCACTAGTTGGCTCCCAAGGAGCAAAAACACCTTGAAGCACCACTCCGTCAGGAAATTGGATGCGAATTATTGTTCTTCTGTACCTCTGCCTCACTGCTTTTGCTTGCTTTTCCTTGTAAGATTTAGGAATTAAAAACTGGGATTCTGCAATCTTTTTCTTTCTCATATCTGCTTCTCTCTTCAACTCTTCAGCTGAGAGGTTATAGAAAGAATCTGGTAGCTCGATTTTTGCTGCTACTCTCTCAGGTACAGAGAAGAAAACCTGGATCTATAACAACAAAATTCATGTTCTGAGTTAGAGATATATGCCACAAGACCTAATAAAACGTAAAAGAATAAAGTTGATGTAGTAAGAACGATGAGATACAGGTGACGAACAGGTGATAAAGAACACTTAATATCCTGATTAATCACAATTTTTACTAGTATAACAATGTAAAACTTGTGATATTCACTAAATATCAACATTCAATAAGATAAAAGGGAATGAATGAGAAACATGACAAGCAAGGTTACAGAGAAAATAAAAGCAAAAAACGAAAAAATCGAACACAACACAACGTGGTCAACTTTCCTATAATTTCAAAAGCAACATTTACACCAACCATAAACAAAGGCAATCTACAGTAATGCTCTAGATGTGTAGCAGGACAGTGATTTCATACATACAGAATGGTGAAGTGATTTACGGAAAACTTTTGGGGGACAAAAAAAATATCAGCAAACAATTCATTTACCTGTCTGTCAATCTTCTTTGGCTCAACACTTTCCTCTTTCTCAGCTGGAGCTGCAGGGGAAATATTCTCACTCTGCTTAAGTTGTTCTATCTTTCCCGGTTCCAACAACATTATTGCCTTATTAATCAAACTAATCAGCTCCTCTTTAGGAACCTCCATAACTGCCCACATTTCCCCTCCTTCCTCCTTCAATTCAAATCCAACAAACACCAACAGTTCAACTCCTCCTGCCACATCACCAACTGCTTCCCTTATCCTCGGATTACTCATCCGAATCTTCCTAAACTTGTCATTCCCAGGTTCCTTAACTATATTCCTCAACAACCTATGAACCACCTCAACCGCCCCTTCTGGTGGCTTTCCTGAAAGAAATGAACCAACACAAACCTCCAATTCATTTCTAGACTCTTGTGACTCATTCTCATTCGACCTGATATCACCATCATGGCCTTTTCTATCTGACGAATTAGTATTAACACAAGTTTCTATATGTATAGACACCTCTTCCTCAGACCTATAAGAAGCACCACAAATCGGACACTCAAACACATTTAAAGTAAAACCATTCTTGGATACCTTGCTACAAGTGATCAATGAGTTGTAAGGATCAAACCCATTTTCCCTTTTGCCAGTTGGTTCGAGATTATTGATAGAACTGGGCTTGTTTTGATCATAATTTGGTGGTTTTGAATGCAAAAGAGGCTTAGAATTCGAAGAGGAAGAAGAAGGGGTAGGCTTTGGAGTGGGAATTTGAGTTTGGGTGGGATGCATAAGGATAGGGTTAACAGGTCCAGATGAAGAGGAACCCAAGACTCTACCATGACCCTTGAATTTACCAGATGAAGAAGATGATAATGAAAATTGGTTGTTGACCTTCTTCGTGAATCCATTCCATTTGTCTTTCATCTCATCCATTATTCTTTTCTGGGTATTATTCTCTTGGGTTGAAGCTCAAAATGGAATAATAATACTAATAGCAACAAAGAATATAGACCAGGAATCAGGAACAGAAAAGGCTAATAAAAGAAGCTATTTTATCTCCAAAGAGTCGGTTGGTTGTTAAAGCAGCCTGGTGATATAATTGGGTTTAGAAATGAAAGAAATATGGACAAGAAATGAGTTTTTTATGCAACGAGTTTACCTCGGAGGATCAGAAGAGAAGCGTTAACAGAGTTCGGAGAAGACTTTGGTCCTTGTCGATAACAGATCTTAATCGTTAAGATAGACAGCTGTTATTGGCCGTTGGGATTTGGAATGTGGATTGGGACCTTCTTTTGTATCCGGAGACGTTGAATTCAATGAATTGTTAAAGATTCGATATACACGCTGTTCAACCACGTTAAACTTGCAATTAAACCAATAAGATATCGCCACGTATATGGGCCTTAACAGTTTGACTTATTAGAGTTGCACTTGCAGCAAAGAAGGCCTTGTTTTCCCAGATTTCTTTTGTAGGCACGTGCGAAGGGTAAAGTTATTGAAGAAATTGAAGACGTAGATCCTGCATCTACTTTTGCTTTTGGATCATCCCTAGAAGGGATTTGCAGGAACAAAAACTTCAAAAAGGAAAATATTTTCTCATCTTATCAACAATAAAGGTCTTCCAATCGAAGGAAACACATTGAATAGTTATTTGAAGTTGAGTTATCGACTTTCCAATGAAGTAGCTTTTGCAACCCCAATCATGTAGCATGTTAATCTTCATTGAGTTTCAATCGATTAGCCTTTACAATTGATGGATTATGTGGGTAACCAGTTAGGAGTCCGCATCCAGCGTTCCTCATGGGAAAGTCTTCATAAAAGCCAAGCCCTTCAGTATGTGCTACCTTGCGGCCTTATTACTGATGAACATGGTTACTGATTAACCACGTAAAAAGAGCCACTGTACCCCCCAAAAAAGAAACTGTTTAGAAATACGTTTCATCATATTCTAGCAGTACTTGCATGATTGATTTAGTTTCATTTCACGTCCAACTTAACAAACTAGCAACACTAGAATAAGTAACTGAACGAAGATTTTTTGTGCCCCTGTACTGGCAGATAGCTTAATCAGAAACATTATTTTTGTTCCTTCTCTGGCCAGATGACTCGGTGGTTTGAGATTCAAACATTTCCCCACACTGCACGGCAGAGATTCAAACATTTCCTAACACCGCCGGTCAGTCAAGTGAATCTCATTCATTATTATGGAGTAACTAGAGTTTACCAAAATAATTCAAGAGTCAAGAAGGGAATCATGAGTCATGACTTTTGGCCAAAAGGTTCAGCACCTAGCCTTGAAGCGTAAGGCTGACAGGCAGCCGCTGTCCGGCCAGTAAATACTGAGTCCTACCCAGGCCATTAGCTTGAAAGTCTTCGATGGACAAATATAAGGGCACAATACAATATTTTAAAGAACTCAGAATGGGGGCAAACAAGCCCACACACTTTCGAGTGCTTAAAATTTTAGAGAAAAAGAGTTCAATAGAATAAATCTTCCACCCAACCCAGTGCAAATGCCTGGCCACCATCCAGGTTCTAGAATGAAAAGCTATAGTCAGACCATCCTCCAAGTGAAACGACTGACCACCATGTAGAATAAAAAGCCATGTTAAGGCCATTGCCCCAGTTTCAAATGCATATTTCAACCATTTCTTCAGGGGACGGCTGTAGTGCGGTGCAAGAGTAGAGAGCTATAGGTGAGTAAACAGGCGGCTTCAATTTTGACCATTCAATAAGATGGGAACTTGTATCTACGCTACATGAGAAAGCTGCCTGTGTTGAGACATCAGTGACAGCCAGTAAAAAGTATTACTTCAATTCAATTGAACATCCAGTTATGGCTGGTATCACCACCAGCCTTACCACGTAAATATAAGATGATTGAATGGTCAGAATTGAAGCCGCTATATCCAATGCCTCGGTTCCCATAGTGCACATATGGTGCTCAGCAAGAGGACTACAAGGGGTACTATTTCTTTTAACTTTAAAAGGAGAAAACCTATGCTGAGCAGAAAATTGGAAAGAATAAAGCAGTTAAAGAGGTACTCGAAACATTCCAAAAATCAATTTTGAAAAAACTAAGTTTTTCCTAAACCATCTACACAATGTTAAGAAGTAAAAAGTAGAAAGCATCAACAAGAAAGCAAAGCCAGATACTCAGATGACAATAAGAATTGCCAAATGCCAAGCACATATAAAATTATTTGCTCAGATCATTGGAGATATTATCAGACTCGGGATGGATTTGATGATATAATCCAAAAAGTGAACAGGAAGCAAATTCAGAAGCTAAAATGGCAGGCAGCTAACTTGGTAATATAGATAGTGCACTACTAAACCACAAAAATACCAATTTGTAGCTAACTTTTTATAACCAATCTAGGCTAGGGTAAGTGGAAGCTACATTGCCAAATCCCATTTGCTAATCAACTTGTTCTTAATAGAAAACAGCAGGCAGAACAAAATTACTAAAGCTTCCATTCCAACTCCAAAAGCAGCTTTCAGTGTTGAATTAAAATAAATTTATGACATAGCTGTAATTTTGAACCAAAACCCTAAATTCTATATCAAATGATAAATTGAAAAAGGAAGATGCAATGCAAAAATAACAACATATAATTTTCATCATATAAATCCTTCAAATTATCCCAACACATCATAAAGGAAATTTACACAAAAAGATACCCCAAATACAAGCATTCTCAAAATAAGCACTTATCTCACTCAATCGCGATTTTTAAGCATCTCAACGCGCTGGTTCAACTGCTCAATCTTAATAACAAGGTTAGTAACAGAGTAAAGCAGCCAATAGAAAATTAGAGCGGCGGCTATGAGAAGCGCGTTGCGTTGGCTCTTCATGATGGATTTCTGGTGACGAAGATGCTCCGACGGAGTACATGAATCGCCATCGCAGTGAGGGCGCGTCTCGTATTTCCAATATATATCCATCAGAAGGAAGAGGCAGAAGGGGACCACCGACAAGAAGGGTTTCAGGAGGTTACGTGTTACAGCAATCAAGCCCTTGCGGAGTCCGTCGAGGCCAGGGATTGTTAGGAGGAGCACCATGATGGCTTCTGCACCCGCAGCATATCCTAGCACTACCCATTCGAGAGCCATTTTTCGGGAAAATTTTTAGATCTGATTTTGATATCTTTGACCGGGTAGCGGCTTTGGTGTTAGGGAGTTCGCTTTTGTTACGTGCTTTTCTTAGTGAGGAAGGACGTGGGAAGAAAATGGAGACCAAAGGAAAGACGGGAACAGAGGACACGTGGAGTGTTGTCTACTGAGGATTCGGCCCGTCTTAAGAATATCCAAGTAAGTTAGGAGCCCAACATGGAGGCCCTTGCCAAGTTATAAAGATGGGCTAAAATTTCTTGTAGTGGACAAAAGTTAAGAGCTTGGGCTGAAGTTTTCTCCGTATACGTTGTGAAAATGTATCACGTCTCTATTCTCTTTGTTTAGCTGTGAATAAGATCCATGTTTATCTTGGCATGGAGATCCATTCAACTTTTTTGTTGCTATTATTTGTGCTTTCATAAATCAGTATTTGCATTGGGTAAGGAGGAACACTGGGTCTGAAATTATGCCGCTGATGACGATTCCTCCACTTTGAGGCGCATCATCATCTTACCAGGGAATCAATTCTTATGAAAGCTTTGGTTGCTGCCAAATGCTTTTTACTCCATTGTCATCAAGCATCACAACTAGTTCACTTTTAAAGTTTAACAACAAGTAATATTATTGGAAAAAAAAATTATTGTAGATGCATGTAGAGTCCACCTAACCTTGATCGCACGAAAGGACGTAGATGACTTTAGGGGAAGCTAACCAGCCATCCATACTTGCATCATTTTCTTCACTTGGACAGTCAACATCGCTACTTCATTTTACTAGAAGGTTCATCTGAGTTCTTATCGGTGCCACGTTTACAACTGAAATGCAAGGATTCTTGCTGCCTTTTTGACAAACAGAGTTCCTACTTCCTTGTCTAGGTTTAGCACTCCCCCCCTTTTTTTTTTTTTTTGGTTTAAATAGTCCGAGCTGATCGTATTGAATAAGTCGATAGAGAAAGTTACTACTTGATTGCTCCAAAAGATAATAAATAAGAAAGGGGATTCTAGTATCTTTTTCTTCATTGTCATTATTACTACTTTGAATCAGTCTTTTAGCCTATAAACTGCATGTTCAAACTTCAAAGGACGACTAGCAATCTTTAGTCTTCTCCACGATAGAAGAAAAAAAGTAGAGCAATGTTGACTGGTGGATGCTTGGAATTGTAAGATACGACAAACTAGAAAAAATCTCATCTGATCAAACAGCCAATGGCCTTTTTGTTAATTTCACAATTACGTTAACAATTCTTTATAAGAAAATGTGTTTTTAAAATTATTTGATAAAAATATTAAATTCGAACAAAATCTGATAATACTCTTAATCAACTTATAAAAAAATGTAAAAAAATGGCACACTTTGATTATAGTGGATGGACCATCAAATTAGGAGTCGCCCAAACTCTATTGATTAGAGACACACGCTTCTAATTCGAGTTTCGCAGACCACAATTCTGAAAATAAAAGGGAAAAATTTCTCCAAGGACAGAAATAGAACTCAAATCATTTTCCCATGAAGAAAAGAAAGGTTGTGGGGGACTGAAAGAGGAATAAGTTTTGCAATTTGACATGTGTAAAGTGACACTTTTTTGTAGGTGATTGTTAAGCCATAAGTTAATGCAAATATATTGACAGATTATATGAAGCCAAGGGCAAGAGATGAAAATGATGTTCAGCATTCTAACCAAAAAAAAAAAAAGAAATGATGTTCAGCAGATTCTTTAGCATTATGTATTTTGTTCGAATAAATTTTTTTTCCAATTTGCCTTCCTCAATTTGTCACAACTTTTGTCATCTATGATCACATTTCTTTTTCCTTTCTTTTTTGTCTCCCTTTGTTAAAAGCTAGTCACTATCTAATTCCTCCTCCATCTCTTTGTCTAGGAATAAATATACAGAGACTTTGAATTGCATTACCGACACCAGTTATAATCCGACGCATGATCCTTTCTGCCACCCACTTCCATCTATTTGTTTTTTTTATAGATGTTATAAGCCTGGTTATGAAAAGAGAAATATGTAAAGCAATGGAGCCAAAGGAGTGAATTGGGGCACAAAAAATAGAAAACAAATTACATGGTGCCAAAGGGTTTTAGAATGGGACAGAGATCAAAACTCTTGTGATAAAAAACAAAGCCAATTTAGTTTTATAATGGATGAGAGAGAAGATTCTTAGCTAATTCATGAATATTACCCTTAATTATTGGCCTTCAAACAGAGGGAATATTGCCTTAATCATTGCTGTGTGGATCATTAGATATCTCAAAAAGCAAAAAAAAATTGATTGTTCTTTGCTTGATCGATAACTCGTTCTTGGACTTTAGATTATGGATTCATTTGGCAGCGTGATGGAATCCAATCATAAAAGGACAGTCTCACTCTGCCAAATGAATCCTATATGTATATATCTAGGTTGGTTACACATTAGTTGGCAGATATGATGGCTGAACTAATTACTTTTATTTGATAAAACCATAATATTTGCTGAAAACACGAAGATTGAACAATCTATGAATCTCTCTCAATTTGACCAGAAACACTACTTTGGCAATTCTTATATAAAATATCGACAAAGATTTCGTGTGGGGTTTTAAGAAAATTAAGTTTAGTAGTCTCTGTTCATTCCAGTTCTGATTGATAAATTGCATGCAACTCAAAAATGACTTCACAAATCAATTCATTCATGTAAATCTACAAATTTTGTTCATGGACGTTTGATTTAATTCAATATGTTTTTATCATACGCCTCGAACTACACATCAGTTGCCTACTTAGCTATCACTAGTGCCTGAATATTTGGTTCAACGGTAAGTGCATATGTTTCTATGGGGAGATTACGTGGAAACATCAAACAAGTAGTGTTGCAAATATCAAAGCAAATTGAACATTGAATTGACAGAAATTATATGTAAGTTTAATCTAAGGTATAGATGAATTCAAGCTTTTGCCAACCATATAAACTGGAAAGCAAAAGCTCTAATAACACCCAACAAATGCACTAACTACAGCACTAGAAAGAGCACTTTTCATAAAAGTGTTCACTCATTATACACTCAAAAACAAGCTCTAGACATGGTTGAAAAGCTCAAGTGGAATCAGAGTCTTTAGGCTTTTTTCATCTTACTGTAACTTTCTTTTCACTTGTTTCATGAGATCCAGAAAGTGTTGTTTGTTCATTTATTTACCACCTGCAGATATTGAAACAGGGAAAAGAAAATGAGAGGATGGGAAATTTCATATGTTGTATAAAAAGCAACAAAGCAAAGGGAGAAAGAAAAGAAGAAAAAAACAGAGACAAGTAAAAGCATAGTCAATTAAACTTACCTTTGCCTTTCTCACACAGTTTTGATAAGAAGGATACAAATACTATGATCAGAGCAACTCCAGCAATGAGACCAATTAAAATTGCTAGTGTCTTTTCAATCTCATCATCATCATTATTAGTATCTACATACATAAAAATCGAAGAAAACATCAGAAAGTTGCCCTTATGCACAATAATTAAACTCATCATCAATGTAGTTTCCAAATTTAGATTGTTTTTTATGAGAAAATCAAAAGAGATTTGTTTTTGGTTCCAATTACACGCTGAAACACAATCCTTTTCATTCTTACTATCCACCATAATTATTTGATCAAACATTTTAAGATCATTCTTAAGGAATTTGGAAAATTCCTACCAAATACAGATCTATGCCCTCATGTATTGCTCATTTAAACATTATCCCAATAATTAGAACTTGAAATTTTAACTCAAAAGTTTCGAGTTCAAATCTTTAATATATATATAAATGTCTAATAATTTGAACATGAAAATCATGTATGATTTTTCTTTTCTTAGGTGGGGGTGGTGTTAGGTACAATGGATTCTTCTTGAGTTCAAATGGGACATTAATTCAAAAGTGGGCTCAATTGCATCAAAATTATACTACCATTAAGGTGCTTTGACAAGTGACTTTGTTATTCATACAAGAAAGCTAAGGCACTTTGACATTTCTATCCTCACACACCTAATTGGCAAACTATATTTGAATTCCCATCAATACAATTCATCAAAATCAATGGTCTTCCATTTCCTTTTACTTTTACCATAGTAATCAAACATATCAACCACATTTAGCACAAAAGTAAAACAGAAATTTCAACCCATGATCTCATATCCGGTACTAGTGGTGATCAAGCAACTATGTGTCATATCAAGGGAAAGGAAGTATAAAGTTAACCATTTAATGGTAGAGTAATAATTCTAAATGCACTTATAATTAACAATCCCATTTTTTTTCTCTCTAAAATCTCTGGTCATTGGTTACTAAGTTACTAATCCTCTTCCATCATTTTATAGTGAAATGATTTTCAATTGAACTCAATTTTCAGTGTTTAGGATTTAATTTTTGATAATTTTAAATATAAAATATAAAAAATAATTTCGAATATAAAAATATGAAAAAGTAATAGAAAGGTGTCGAATTTTTTTTAAAAAAGTAAGAATAAATAGAAATTTGCCATTGAATAGGTTATTAGCTCCATCAAATTAATTAATCAACAATAAATGAAAGTTACTTAAAAATTTTTGGTACCACACAAGAACAAACATGGAAAGTTCTTAGATTTGAAAAATAAAAAAGAAACGGGTAGAACCGAAACTTAAATCTAAATTTAAATTTAAATATTTATAATTTTTTCATATCTCCAAACAATAATCTTTTTATAAAAAAACCTTAATTCCATGTCAAAATAATAAAAAACTTTTAAAATTTACAAATATCTTAAATAATTTGGACTAACCAAAATAAACATCCAATTCACACCAATTATTTACACTTCACATGGCATGAAAAGGAAAAACCCAAAAAAATCAAGATCTATCTTATAGTAAATTTCATTCAAACGCACACTGGATTAAACCCAAACCAAAAATAATAATAATAAGAACCGCCATCAAGGAGGTGGCGAAACCGCTTACCTTTTTCGCCGTGCGAGTGGTCTCCACCTACCGAGTACCGAGCGTAGCACTTCGCCAAGTACATGTCACCCCACCTGGCTGCGCCACACTCGGTTTTGAGCCGTTGGATCGCCTCTGATAAGCAATCTTGGCACTCGCTCGGACTTAAATCCCCTACACACTGTGCCATACCACGAAAATCTCCTGACCCGCCAACCCGGAACGGTTTGTAGGTCCCATCACTCGCTAATAAGTAACCCAGCACCGCATCACGCCGAGTCAACGCATCGGAGTAAGACGAAATCAACGGTCCACATTTTTTCACCACCACAGTCTTGTCCTCCGCGCCCATAAAAGTTGTATTATCATATTTAACGAAACACCCTTCGAGTTGCAAGACGCCACCCGTCGAGTCAAGGCAAAGAGTACCGAGTTGACTCACTGCTTTAGCAACGCAGCGGCCACAGTCACCGTTGTTGAGGTCGCCGCGGCACTGGAACAGACCGTAGACGGTGTCCTGAGAGGAGGAGCCAGCTGCTGGCACGGTGAAGTTGTTGTAAGAGGTGAACGTGGCTGAGTTAACTAGGGAATTGAGTATCGAGTTAACGTTATACTCATAAGGTGAGCCTGACATGTATTTCAGCTGCGAACAACCCCCGAAAACGAAGGTATCAGTAGCTGAATTTGATGGGGTTATGAAAAATATTGATAATACGAGAAGAAGACGGAGAAGAAAAAGCGACGTTTCTTTCGTAACTAAAGCCATGGCTTAAGATATTGAGGAGAAAAAAGAATGGCTTGAAAGAGAATATAGAAAGGAGAGTGAGTGAGAGATGGTTTAAAGAAGAGGCTATCAGAGTATGAAAACAGACAGCTGACACTGTTTTGTGTGTGAAAGAGAAAGGGCTGTTGCTTTGAGAGGAATTTACGTAAGGAAGAGACTAGCTTCATATTTCATATGAGTTCTCATATCTGATCTGTATTTTTCTTTTTCCTTTTTTAAAATATTGTTGTTATAATTATTATTAAATCATTTTTGCCAACTACTTTAATTAATCAAAATAGATTAACCATTAATATTATTAATATACTAACAATCATAAAATTTATATTTTTTTGGATAAATAATTATAATTATTAGTAATGTTTTAAGAATCAATTACTACAATTACTATGAGTGATTTTTTTTTTTTTTTGTTGAAAAATATTATTGGCTTATTGTTAGATTAAGAATTGTGGAAAAATGATAGATGATTGAAACGAAAAACATTTTGATATATCATGTTAAAAGCTGATATAATTTTAAAATTGAAATATGCGACAAATTATTACTATTATATTAATAATGTTTTTAAGAATTAATTGCCAAGATTTTTTTTTTGTTTAATTTTGTTGGAAAATGACTTATTGTTGGATTAGGAATGGAGGAAGATGGGTATTGACAAATGAACTAATTGGCTTAATGTTGGTGAGCTTAAGGTCAGATGTGGTTGAGGGACCGGTAATGGTTGACCCAATACATCAAAGATGGTCAGGGACTAAGCTATGCCTCCTAAATTATAATTGTTGATCTATCAAAATCAACTCAATTTGTGATTACAAATATTCAAGTGGTTAATTGTTTAATGCGAGATGGGAAATTAACATATGGCACATGTATAGACTTAGTGGGCCGAGCAAGGTTTTCGACCGTTGGACGGATGACGTCCCGTATTACTGCAAGGATTGCAATAGAAAGTGATAGCAGCTAGAATCTTAAGTTTTCTTAGTAGATTTAGCCATTCAAGAAATGCAAAGGATTCTTCATTTTAGTTCTAGAAAATATATATTTGAAAAAAAAAACATAAATTTTAGAAAATTCAAATGGAAGGTGAGAAGATGAAAATCATCCCAAGTTTGTATTTTGAAGATAATATTTATGTGATTTGTCGCTTTCAATTTTAATAATCATGATTTAATTTGATTACCTCATATAAAAATAATTGTAGTTTGGCTATTATATTCATATATGGGACCTACCATATTGTCAAATTGGGGTTTAAGTTGAAATAAAAATGAAAGCTTGTGAATAAGAGCTTTGAAGTAAAAACTTGCAAGAATTATCAGTCCAACCCTTGTTATTATTATTAATGAAGATTATTTTAATCTTAGCAAACATTGTTAAGATATAAATGAACAAATTTAATTAATTTGGTTGATAATTTTTTTCTAATGGTGTCAAGATATTGAACCATCCTCAATTTAGGCTGCCTTTCTATAGAGAGATAGCCATTTTGTCCTAGAAAAAGGCAAATTGCTGATTATAACTGTAAATTAATTTATGAACAAATCTTAGCAAGCAATGGGATTTTTATTTCTAATTCATCTAACTTTATTAACCTAGGTCTAACCAATACATATAAAGTAATTGTTCACCGCAAAGGAGTGACTCTTGGCTTCCAAATCAAAAGGATATATTATTTTAATTTATAGGCCTTTTGCACCTTGGTAGACCAAAAGACTTATCTTATGACAAAAATTTTTTTTTTTAATTCAGGTAGTTCTAAATATATATATATAAAAAGATATTTTTTATATTCTAAATATAAAAGAAAAAGATATTTTCTATATCAAGGTCTTTTCTTTTTTTTTTCCCCTTCTATGGATTTAGTTATCGTTGGTGTACCTTCTAATGCAAAATGTAGGGAAAGCAAAAGGGAAGTGATGACACATATAAAGGTTATATTAATAATTCTTTAAATTTCAATTTTAAAGGAACCTTCAAGGAAAAGCAAGAGTTTGTTATTGATAGCAATTTATTCCCACATTACATTATATATATATATATATATATAATTATATATTAATTATAGATATAGAAAGTTCAGGGTGATGAAGGGTCGTTTTCCTTTGATGCTGAGGAATGGAACCCCTATGTTTGGTACAATATTAATGCTCCATATTCATGAAAGTGCATGGAAAATCATCTCACTATTTGTGACAAAGACTTTGATGGTACCCACTTGCAAAATTAAATAAATTTGACTCTAAAATTAAATCAAACTAAAGACAATATTTATGAAACACAAGTATATGTGGTATTCCATGCGTAATCAAATGCCTTTGACTCAGTTTTTCAATCTTTATTTTTCCATTCAAAGTCGACAAGTCTAACTTTAATGGCTAAGAAGAATCCAATGGAGGTTCGGTAAAGAGTAGTGGAAAAGAAATCATACTTCAATTATTTAAGGAAGGAATCGTACATTATATATTATTTCTTTTTTAGTGAAAATAAATTTTTAAAGTGAGGGGAAGCTTCCTCTTTAGTAAAAATTAAATATTCATTTTTGTTCCAGTCAATTCTACCAATACAAGTTCCTGACATTTGTGAATGGTCAATATTTAATTAAGATATGAATAAAAGGAAATGTATGGTGCAAGTATACTTTTTAATACTAGAACTACTTTTTTAAAAGAAACTAAAAGGAAATTTCTTTCCCAATAATTCGCCAGTTTTCTCAACTTTCTTGCCCTGGAATTACTTGACTTTGATTAGACCTTTATAGTTTTAGCAATGATTAATCATATTCATGAAATCGATCATATGTATCTATTTCTAGTTCTGGCTCTTACCAAGAAGCTTCCTGATCTTCTCATGTTTGTTTGATCGTAGATTTCCTTAAGAAAACATGCAGTTGCTTCAAAATAAATACAAGTCTTTTTCGAGTCTTTGGCTCTTGGCTATGAAAAAATAATGATGTTCTTGGAATATACTGATCTCTTGAGTACATACTCCATTATAGAAAAAATGAGCGAGGAAGTTATCTATGGTATCCATGGCTTAATTTGAGCATGTTCCAATGAACCCACAAAACAAGTAAAAATGAACCTCCCTATATGTTTGCATATATAATTTGCCTATATCTCTAGCTAGGGGGATGTGGACTTTGGTTGTACTAGGGTTGTGGAGGAGCAAGAATGGGCTGTTCCATCAAGAAAAAAAATAATGAAGGGATTCGATCGAGAGATGAAGAGAGGGAAAAAGGGAAGGTCACATTCAACAATTAAATCAATGTCCATATATATATTCATCAAAGTGATGAATGTTTTTGTCTTTGCTATCATGTGCCAGCAGCACTTTTAGGTCTATGGGTTTAACCTCCGACCAAAATGTTGTCATTTTGCCATATTAGATAAGATTAAACACGAGCACCACCGCCAAAAGCCTTGTGTAGCTTGATTTTGGGTTGGATCATGCAATGTCTCGACTTTGGAGCTGGCAAAATAAAAGCAGCACCCTTTATTTTATATAAGCAAGTTTGCCACAACACATTTGTTGCCAATCATTGATCTCTCTTGAACCAAATTATTTTGGTTGTAGTTGAGTTGTAGATTCCAAGAAATAGGAAAATAAAATTTCGATTATGATTGGAGTCTCTGTTTCTAATGTCTTTCCCTGCAAATTTCATTGTTCTTATCTTCATTTTGAAATTAAATTTGAGATAAAACTTTCAAAAAATTATCATGTAATATGTTGATAAAATGTAAAATTCTTAATTTCATTTACAAAAATTTAATCATTGGCCACTTTAAATAAATAAAAATATATTTTAAACCACCATATATCATTGCTCAACCACAAGTTTTGTCTTTCTGTTATGTTCTTCAAATGGTTGTTGGTTTCCCTTGCATTCATGAGTCAATATCAGACAAGATGTGCATGTGAGGAATGCAAGGGATTAAGAAAAGTAAACTTTACTATAGAATCGATGGAATTTGGATTTGCAATTCAAAGACAAAATGGACATAATATATATAATATTGATAGGACTTAGCTATTCATTCACTTATTTTGTAGGTTGGTTCAACAGCTGTGGGAGGGCCATATTTCTTTTCCAATCGTGAAGAATTGCTTCAAGAGAAGATGATTTGGAAGTTGATGGATGATGAAGCTAACCAAGTTTTCAAGGGGATTAATCATCATTACCATGACTAATTAATGCAAATGTAATGATGGTTTAAGACTAGTAAAATTTTAATTATAACTTCTTAATAGAGATTAGAAACACTTGGTGTGATTAAAGTTTCTAAGCAATTAAATTCACATAGGGGCAGTTGCTTGACAGATGTTAAAAACAGTCTGATTTCTAAAATAAATACTTGGGGGTTTATGATTAGCCTGAGAGTTGAAAATTCTAAGTTACAAGTCCGAAGATGACCGTAATTGATGTAACCTGTCTCTAGATATTGTACTTGGACGGTTGGACCTGACTGAGAATGAAGCTGAGGGTCAAATATATTAGTTGCTTTTATTTCTTACTATCAGACTATCTCTATCAATAAATAATGTAAAGATTGAATGCGGTATTTTTTTTTTTTTAGAAAGTTACAATTGTAATCAAAATATTATATTATATGACAATTATTGAATTAAATTAAACAAATAAATCAATATATAATAAAATAAATTCAATATAAAATTTGATCAAACCTCAAGATAATTTTGACACGATCGAGTTCCAAGATCAAAGGTCAAACTTTTGACGTAGAGGCCCCATATAAGAGCGAATTGGATAATGGACTTCTCAAAAATCATTCTTGCGTTGGGCCTAGTAAAAAGTTTACAGCACGAGCTATATATATACAAGAACCTCAAAAGAGCCCGCCAATCCTGAATGAAATGCAATCATACAAACTGACAGGAAATGGAATATTGTGAACGAGTGTTTTTTTTTTTTTTTGTTTTTTTATGTGCCAATAAAAAATAATTTTTTTAGATTAAAAATTTAGATTTGGAAGCATTAAGTCATTAACATTGTGATTTGAGTGGATTTATGAGAGTTTTTCAAAATGCAATGTTCAAATTAAAGTGATTCTGGATTTGGACGTTAATTTATTGGGAAAGAAAAAAACTAGGAGGTTGTCAATTCATCCAAGCATAGCAACAAATTGATATAAATTGGACAATGGTAATTCATGGTTATATATGATAAATAAAATCTCTGAAGCATCAACAAGAAGATACATTATTTCTTTCTACTAATCTAAACAAAGAACCCAAAAAATAGTTAAATTACAAATCCACGAATCATATCTTCCCAACCCGTTTGAGGCCGAGCAGACCATACCCACCATACGAGTAAGCATTTTCTTTACATCCAACTGCATCACAAAGAATCCCACTATAACTCATTCTTCAATTCCTTCAAAATATTTGCTTCAAACGATTAATTAATTTACATATTTTAATTTTCAAAATAAATTAAATCATAAATTAAAGCCAATTGGTAAATGATCGATGTAAAGGCTAGCGCATTACGCTTTCTTTTTGGCAGATGCTCTTTCCCTCTCCATATGTTCAAACAGGCTTCCATCATAAACAGCTTTAATCGTTTCTTTCCTTAGTAATCCACGGTTGTCCTTGCAAAGATTGTATAATGTCATCCATTCCGTCCAGCTAGTAAGCCTGCAAATTTTTTCCCATATTTGAAATTATCAGAAATTGAATCCTATCACTGAAATTATAAGTTAAACACTCTATCAATTTATGACACGGCTGTTGCAGATTATTGTTATTTATATGTAACTTAGAATAAGAAATTTAAGAACTAATTACCATCCTTTGTAATCCTGTGGTTCCCTGTTAGCCTTGAGCATTGCCATCAGTTCATCAGATGTTAAGGCACTGGAATGCGTACGAGCGAATTTGCTGAAGATTTCTTCAAACTTCAAGGATACAAACCTATCGTATAATTCCAAAATTAGATATGAGATCATAAATAATTCACATGGGAGTACCAAGAAATAACGTGCTAACCAGCACAAATGTAGCTTTATTAAAATCTGTCATTAAATTGAAACGAACTAAAAACCAGCCTAATTAACAAAGTAACAAGTAACAACTTTGGTCTCATTTCTTCATCACATGGTGGGTCAAGTTTGGTAGCATGAGCCACGTATGATCAGGTTAAATAAGATAGTACTGAAAACCGGCCTAAGTGCCAACTTTTGGTCTAATTTCTCTATCATATGGTGGGTCCAGTTTGGCAGCATGAGCCAGAGTTAAACTTGTCTAATTTAAAATGCATTGAATCTGTCTAGGATCTTCACTAATGTATAAACTAATCCTAGCTTTGATTTGCTGAAAAGAAAAAGGATTTCATCAATAATTGGAAAAGTTAAAACACTAAGAATTGGAAATTGCATTTTCTTTACAGCCTTATAGAACAACAATTACTTACGTTTGTATTGCCAGAAAAGCAAAAAACAGTCATTTAAGTCAGGTTTTTTACTACAATTACTTGAAAAGTGTTTGGATGAGTAAAGAAATCTGGAATAGATCCAAATCTAAACAGGGCTTAATGATAATAAGATTTTCGAGTTGTAAATACAGATTCATATCATAAACAAAGCCATATGAAGAAGCAACTCATGACTATACCTTACCCTTCAGATAACAAAGAATAAGACATTTAGCAATAGAGACATGGAAATTGAGGCATGATGGATAGAACAAAGGGCACACTATTTTACTTACGAATTCTTTCTCAAGAATAATAGCAACAGAAAGATCCATCTGATTAATGCAAATTGATAAATGAGATAGTATATATATATATATATATATATATATATATTTTCCATTTACCTTCCCTGACTGTCATATACACCAGAGTCACTCCCATGTTTTGCCAAATGGATATTTTTAACCTCGATGGGAAAGAGTAGAGAAGGATATTTTCCCTGCACCATATAGTGGAAAATAAGATCATAAAATATGAAAAGCAAGAGGTCTTAGATTAACATAAAGAATTAATATTATGAATGATTTGTTATTTATATTAAAATATTCAATGTGATATATAAATTTTAAAAATAATCTTTAATAATAAAAATTTTTAAGAACTAATCAAATTTGACTCAACTTAATCTGAGTCATAAATATTGTGTAGGAATTATTGACCAATGCAAAAAAAAAGAAGGAAATTTTAGACTATTGAAGCCGTTCTTATATGATTTATTTTGGCTTTTTTGGTTATACCAGAAATGTAAATTGCTCTTAACTATATGGAAGAAGATCAGGGTAACAAATAAATAGCTCCGATTTTCCTTATGCCAACTATCCTTCGGTGATTTTGCACCAGTTAATAATAGAATATGCTATAAATTAATATTTGGATCAAAAGATTTATATATTAAAAGTTAAAATTTCTCTTTTTAAATATTTAAAATTGTAAAAATTTAAATTTAAATTACTTTAATTAAAAATTTAATATTCTAATAATAAATTACAAGACTCTTACTATGCATGTCTCATTTGGAATAACCCATCAAATACGCATAGAATATGAGTAGGTGAAGATTCGACGCATAAAAGAAAGTTGTCGTTTTTCAAAGAAATTAATTTCATGCCACCAACAAAAAAATCATGATGTATGAATAATTTATGATGTTTTTTCCCTTTAATCAATCTATATTTGATACATCTAAGGTACCTATATTCTTCGAGCAATGGAAACCATATAATTTTCCACGTGGCCAACCAGAAAACTTGACGTTTTGACACGTTAGAAAACTTAAGAATCACAATAAGATGTAATTGAGTCAAGTTGAATTAAGTTGAATTGATATAGTAAAAAATTTAAATTTAAATTTTATTTAAAAAATTAAAATTATTCGATTTTATTTGTTTAGATTTGTTTTATAAAAATAAGTTTAATTTTTGAAATCTATTATATGTTTAAACTCAAGTTAGAGCTTAAATTAATATATATATATATATATATAAGAGTAAAATAGTAATTTTTTAATTAAAATAATAAAAATATATTAAAATTTTAAAATTTAATTAAGATTACGAGTTATTTAAATCAAATATTAGAATGTTCGAATTCAATTTATTAAATAAGTTAAATTGTTCGAACTCAAATCGATAATAATCGAATTAAATTTAAGTTTTATCTGAATCAAATCTAAATAATTTACAAATATTAATATATCATTTATATCTTAAAATTAAAAGAAAAACAAATAAATAAAAGAGAGATATTTATTAAAATATAATATCATATGAAGATTTCATAAATTAATAACTTGATAATAAATAAATGAAATTTTTAAAAATTTTAAATTATATTCATAATTAAATATTACATTCATATAATCAATTAAATAATTAACTTATAAATTATTACTTAATTAAATAATTAAACTTTAGTGAAATTTGAACTTGAAAATTTTTTTCGTAGAAAAAAATCCCATTGACTAATTAAACAAACAAGCAGATTGTAATTAGTTACATTTATGCATCTTTTTTGTGCTTTGAAAGATTCCAAGCAATCTTGAGTTCTTATCCTTTCCTTTAATATCTCTAATAGTTTTTTCAAGATATTGCATATGAACAGCTATTCTTTCATGACAAATATATAGTTAGAGTTGTGAAATTTTTTATTAAAGTAATTAAATAAAATTCAAATCTGTTGAGAATTTTTATTACTAGATTAAATATATAAAATTTGAAAAGTTTATAATAAATTTTGATATATTTTTAGATAAATATTGTTATTAAAAACTTTGACAAATTTTTTATGTAAGTACTAATCAAATTTTGATTCCAAATACTATCTTAAATAATTTTTTTTTACATATTATGAAAATTTTCATTAAATTTTATGAATTCATAAATTTTTATACGTAAAAAATTTAAAGTCTCATCTTTTTCATATTTGAAATCCAATTTTTAAGAATAAAATTCACAAGATATTTCTTACCAAGAAAAGGATATAAAACAACAATTAATTTGAGACAGACAAAAAAAAAACAGAAAAACTGGGATCAGAAAAAAAATTGTAGGAAAAGGAAACAGGATAAATATATAACATAAAGAAAGAAGAACAAGCAAAGTGGCAGAAGTTTACAGGGCGAGTTTTGCGACTGAGAGCAACGTTGATGAAGAAGGCACCGATCATAGACAAGAAATAACCAGCACCAATTGCTCGAAATCCTGTAAAAATGAAAAAACCCAAAACAGATTTATCCATGAAAATAAAAATAAATAAAAGGAATTCTCTCTTCTTTTTTTAGGAGTAAAAAGAACCTTCAAAAGTCTCCCATGGATAAACAAGACCATCATGGTTTCTGTCAAAGAATGCAACATGTTTTTGCAGAACATTTTGGTCAGTAGGCGTAGGTCTTCCTACATCATCAACTCCTCCTGCATATGCTCATTTTCTTCAAATCAATTACAAAGAAAAAAAAAACTCTGAAAAATTAAGATATAGATTTGTTCATAGAAATTCAAGAAGAAAAAGTTGGACGTATAAATATATAAACATACCCGCTTGAAAATCTTTCGATGGTAAAGAGGAAGCCATGTCTAAAAAAGCGTTGGATCAAACTAAGAATTTGGCAGATAAAAAGAGAAACGACAAGTAATGAAAAAAGAGACCTGATAAAACAGGAATAACCCAATTATTGCTTTGCTTTTGCTATGACGAACGATGATGATTACAATACAGACTCAGGGTCAGGCTTAAGAACAATTTATAATGGAAAGAAACGACGCATGCATCGAGACTTCGAGAGTGATTATTGAGTGTACAAAAACTTCACGCGCTTTAAATGAAGAATATGGCAGATAAAAAGAGATACGACAAGTACTAATAAAAGACACTTGCTAAAGCAGGAAGGTAAACACAATTGTTGCGTTGCTTTTGCTATAATGAACCGTGAGTATTACAATAAAAGACTGAGGGAACAGAGGTTCCTTTCCTTTGCCAAGTTCTTTATAATTTGGAATAAATAAAGGAAATAGAAGACGGGTTTTTTACAAAAATTAATTTGGGTTCGAAACTTGCATTCATGTAACACCCTAACATGGCCGCCTGGCTAGCACACTTTGGCACCAAGTGATGAAATTCGTGTACGCTACATTTTATATGCCTTTACCCATGTTTGCTTTGATGTCTTTTGTCTTTTTGGTAAATAAAAATTTAAGGTAAGGCCAGTTTTTAAGATCAAAGCATACTGTAAGTTTTAAAAAATATTGATAATGGAATTCAACTTTATATCTTATAAATAAATTATTTAAATTTTATCAATTCAATCAACCTGTTAGCTATGCTTTTGTTTTTGCTTTTGGCTTATTATCTAAAAAATTCAAGCTCTGATATTCTTTTTAGGTTGAAATGGCTGTTTTTTTCATGCATAATAAAAAATGACAGGTTTTTCTGTCATGAATGTTGCAAGAGTAGAGTCGATAGAGTAATTGATATATGATTCTCGTTTGAAAAACAAAGTTCAAATCTTGTTTTCCCTCAAATTAAAAGAAAAAAATATTACAGGAGTAGATTTCAGCATTACTGATCCAATTAATTGTTTAATGTTTTAATTTCAATTTTACATCATTGCATATAATCTTGGATAGAAAATCTAACTAACAAGCAATTAAAGATAGTGATTAGAAACGTTCTGTTTACAAATAGCCATACTTATTCCTAAACCTTTTTGTATGCCTTCATTCTTTCAATGAACATTATTTGAATTCTTAAATTCTCTTCATAAATATTGAATTTGGAAAACAACAAATAATTTGTTTTTTTATAATAAAATGGGCATAGCAAAAAAAGAAAAATTTTTGGTTTAAAATAAAACTATTATATTCCATTAAATACTCCTCAATTTGGTTTCGAAAGCTCGAGTATTTGATTCCTCCTGTTGTACTTGACATTTTGACAAATAAATAGTATAGCAGACAAACGGATAACAAGAAAAGAAAGAGGACTAATGGTAGAAAACGACAGAGATTTTTTCGATCAAAGACAACAAACGAAGCTGCCCAAATGTGAACACTGAGCACGAAAGAAAACAAAGTAGTCTTTCTTTACTGCCTTTGCTTGACAGCAACAAAAGCAAGCACTCCCCCGGAAAAGCCACACGCATCGCCGTCTTTGGCTTCACGTTTCTCCCACTCAAATCAATCAACTCTCAGTTACGCCTTCTACACGCGCCTATTATTCCGTGATTTTCGTTGGGTCGAATTCGTCTGTTTGTTGGTTCCAAATATTCGCTGACTAAAGCGCCAGATTTTAAAAATGAGTTTTGAAATTTAAATTTCGATTCGAAATTAATAAATTTATATTTATTTATATATATATATATATAAACGTGTGTTTTAGTTTTATAAAATTTTTTAAATTATATTCATAATTAGATTTATAATTAATAATTATATTATTAAAAATTAATAAATTATAATTTAATTAAATAATTAAATCACATATAATAAAACTTAAACTTAAAATTTTTATATTTTATATTTTTTTATTACTAAATCAAGATCTTGACATTAAAAATTTTGACCAAAGCCCTAAAAAAGTGATCTTCTTTTTATTATTTTATGCATGAAATCCAGAATAATAATTTAATTAATGATAAGCTTGTATTTTCTTTTGGCCAATGATTAAATTTGCTATTTTTCTACGTGCAAAATATATATCTCGGAGATTATTTTTTTATTAATTTAGAAAATGTTAATGACAATATTGACGGCGTTCGTCTAACATTTCGTCATTTCCATATTTTTATGAGAAGATGACATTTGTAAGTGTCTAACTTGAAAGGAAAATCGACTGTGATATTTGAAAGCCACTCACAATTGGACTCCCGTTTCTTCGAGTCAAAGACTACGGTTTCTCCACCGATGTTGTGGTAACTTTTAAGCCACAGTGCCTCATCCTTTTGCTTGTGCAGTGTTTCATCTATGCGGCACTCACTATTTTTTAACCAAATTATAATAAAATTTTAAATTTTAAATTAAATATTATATTCATTTAAAAACCCATTTAGTCAAAAAAATAAAAAAAAATCCGATGAATCAACATATAATTTACAAATTTAATCGAATCAATGCAACATGATGTGAATTTGATCCTTAAAATTTTTGAATCTCTTCCTTATTATTATGATAAAATTTTATCGGTGGCAATAAAAAATGTTTTGATTCAATCATATGGTTAATATTGGTTTGTGGATATTGAAGAAACTGTTTTATTTTTATCGGATATTGTTAAAATAAAAAATTATAATTGCAACCAAATAATTCTGACCATATATCATATAGTCATTATTAAATCAATCAGAACAAATAAAAAACAAATTATAGATAAATTACAATCAAATTTAGAATTTAACCAAACTCATATTATATATATGATAAAACTCAACACTTCAAATTTAAAATTTTCAGAAATTCTTTTTCATCATTGAAATAAAGCCTCACAGGCAAGAAAAAAAAAACATTTTAGTTAAACAATTGGCTGGCGGTTAGATATATCAATGGCAAATATTATCGGTTCTTAATTTCAATAGCTCTTTTGGTACGTCCCCGAAGATTAAAATAATTATTTATTAAGGATATTAAAAAATTAATGTGAAGAAAAATAATAAAAAAATATAAAGCAAAAGCGTTTGTATGAATCAAACATACTCAATTATTTACTATTATTGCAGTCTAATTTAAAGGAAAAAAAAAAAGAATCAAAGAGCTGGAAGACTTTAAAGCTGATGAAAGAATCTAAGACAATTGCATAATCAACTAATTTTTTTTTTTTTATTGTAACATGGAAATGGAACTTCGTCAGTATTGAATATTGAAATTTTATAGTAATATATGACACTTTCTTTCGGCTCATCAATATGTCATCAGAAGACTCTGGAAAAGGACGCTCTACGAGATTCACGTTTAAAACTGTCCTTAATTTGGACTCGTTTTTTTAGAATTAATTAATTATAGTAATTTTTTAAGAGAAAAAAAAAAAGGGGTGATCGACGATTCATACGTATAAGATTGTGAAATTTATATAATATTTGAACGATAATTAAAAGTGTATTGAAACATGAAAAGAAATTAAACATGGATATTTTTCAATTTAATTAAAGTTACTCAATTATTTTATGTTATTTAAGCATCTAATTAAGGTTGGCCAAAAGGAAAAAAGCATCTAATTGTGGATAATAAATACGAAAAGGGAATGGAATTAAAGATTAATAAAATGAATCCAACTCATTTGGAAGACATTGGGGGTTGATCAAGGCATCAAAAGAGTTGTTTGTAAAAGGTGGATGCATCAGAAAGTAAAGTAAACATGTGATTCTTTATTTAATATCAAAATTTACATGTAAATACTTTCTTTGAACAACTTTGTTTTTGGATAAAAAATACACATGCATGTTCTTCAATTTTTTCTACGTGTCATAATCCTCTTTTTTTTTTAGGTCGTTTCCAGTTGTTTCAACACGTTTGACTAGTGAAAATTGGTTGGAAGATGATTTTCCTTTTTCTCCTTCACTTTTTTGTTGTCATCAGTCAGTCAAAGTTAGGAATGCAATAATGTTAGAACTTTACTCATCCAATTCAATAATAATAATAATAATAATAATAATCATAATAATAATAATAATACAACATTAAGCAATACCAACAATATAATATATTGATAGAATATTAAACTTAATTTCAATAATTAAAATTTAAATCTTTATTATTATTATTATTATTATACAAAATATACAGCGATACCATCAACAGTATAATATATTGATAAAATATTAAACTTAATTTCAATAATTAAAATTTAAATCTTGATCACAACACATCAGCAACTATTTTAGAACTTGAAAATTTTAAATCAGGTTTTCTCACTACAAACAACATTACACAATAAGGGTTTGTCCCAATAATAAAGGGAAAACTCTGAAAGTTTTAAGTTATAAAATTTTAAATTATAATTTCAAGTCCCATTGTGTTAATTTCTTTTTTAAAATTTTATGATGATAAGTTAATTTGTTTATTCTATTTATTGCTTTTTTTTTTCTTGAATATGGTAATATTTATGTCATATGTTAAGTTTATTTCATTTAATTGTAACCGCAACTTATACATGTAACGTTGTAAAAAGAACAAAAAACCATTAGTTACAAATAACAAACAGTGCTTATTGAATGTAGATGATGGAATTCTTTTCTTAATTGCATTAAGTTTTGGAAATTAAATTCATATTTAGAGAGATTTAGATATAGACAGGAGAAAAGAGTCGAATGAATCATGTCTTGAACAGAAAAAATTGTTGATGTGAACAGAAAAATTATGGACCAACCACTTAACCAAATGCCATATACGAAAATACCACCATTATGTGGCCCAACCATTACATTTATTTTAAAGAAAAAAAAGTGATGCACGCATGCTTTCGTACTCTAAAAATGAGGATATGTTGGTAGTGATTTGAAAGAAAAAAAAAATACATAGTAAAATCAGAAATTCTGGATGAAACTTGATTTACTATACATGAACAAGCACAGAAGGTGTCCCAAGTAAGGAAGCTTATGACCGAACACGGAAATGCAATTCAAACGTTGTAGGAGAGAAGAATAAACATGAACCCCAAATCCCGATGGTACAAAGCAACTTTCTTTCCTTCCTGGAACCCAAATATCAAAGAAAAAGCACGTGGAAGGAATATAACAATTTTCTCAAACTGGTCAAGGTTCCATTCTCATGTTGGCCATAGTTTTACATTCTAAATTGCATCAAATGAACACGAAAAGGAAGAAATAAGAGGAAAAAAACACGCTCAATAACTAAGATTGATATCAGCAGAACTCATAAATCTTCAAATGTCATCAATTCATTAAGAAGTTCGATTTATTTAACCAACCATTTGGTGGAACCAAGGACATCTTTCTCATACACAAGCATATATATTGATGGTGCTAAGCCGGTTGCTGGAATTATCGTGTATATATTTTATATACATTATGTTCATACAACTCTGATGAAGTTCAAAGGATGCAACACTTCAGCACTAAACCCTTTTGATCGAGCCTTGCCTCTTCATTGCCTGGGAAAACACCATCATAGTTTAAACTTTACACAACATGCATCAAAGAGAGAACACTTATGCACTGAAGATGTTTATCTACATCCTAACCAATATATCACAAATAATAACATTAGTTAATCTATATTGCAAATAACCATAATCTATCATTCCATGCAACAACCAATATTTTATCCATTAAAATTCCTCACTTCAGAAAAGAGACAAGCTTAAGAAACTGACATGAATATAAAAGATTAAGTATATGGCAAGAAAATCAGATGTAAGATCTACACACCTTCAGGAGGCTGAGCAAGCTTCCTGTTCTGTGGAGACATCATTTCTTTCTTCAGCTGAGTCAATATATTCTCCATTGTATACTCCCTTTGCCAATTAGCAAGCATGGGGAAAAGGCTAGGTTCAACCTGACAATTTAGCAGCTATAAGTATATCATATTGTAGCATAGAAGGTCCCGAGAACAACATCACCTACCACTCCAGTTTCCTGATTGACACATGTCATGTTTATCCTTGTTTGAAACCTCACACTTGGTGGATTATCTGGATAATCCTTGCCACAGAACAATTTCAACTGGTAAATGCGTCCTTCATGAACAGTCTGATATGCATCAAGAGTAAGCAAGATATCAACCCAGTTTTCATTTTAAGAAATGATTAGTTTTAAGAGGAATTATTATTATTTACTGTTTTGCAAACAACAGTAACTATGGTGTAAAACTCAAAGTAGAATTCCTTTGACTGGAAGTCCTATACCATATTAAGAGGTGGAAATTCATTAGCTGTTTTGGGAGGTAGTATTTTATTTCAGATTTAACCCGACTTGTATGAGGTGATGCAAGAGCTTATTCTAAAAATCTAGTTATAAGAAGGTGATGCAAGAGAAGAAGCACTTGTACAAGCGCCCGAGGTGACAAGCAATCCAGAAGATTTGGCACCAAATGGCTGATTAGTGTCTACCATAAAAGAATAGATCCCACAAAAATGGGCTTGTGAGATGAGTCATAATATTGATGAGGCTAATTTTTGGACTGACTAGCTGGTTTCTTACCTTGAGTATTAGGAGTTGGGGCTATATGTTTACAATGGTACTAAGCTGGCCTAATGTTTTATGTCTTGTTTTCTATTTGCTTTTCCTTTTCTTTAAAGATAATATTAACATATAGCACCGTAGCTATCTAGCAGGCTAGGACACTTTTAAGCCTACAATGTACCAAATTGTAATATTATTCCTATGCATAATTCTAAAAGCGACCACGGCAGAGATCAACCCTGCAGGGCAGCCAGCTCACCAGGTCATTAGCCAGATCACAGGTCAATCAACAAAGTTGCTTGCTTTACAACTTTTAGATGTTAATTAATATATTTATCATTAAAATTGCATTATCAATCAACATTATTGTGGCACCAGTGATTCTTGTCGAACTTAATAATGATCCTAACCAGTGACCCACATACCAGTCCAGATTCAATAATGCTGATTTCATTTTTCATTTATTTTTAAATAACTCTGATTTTCTTAACACATGGGCATTGAACTTCATTAAAGGTGCATCCGGTGTATAAAACTATGCATGGGACAGGTTAACAAGGTTATGAGATCTTATCCATGCATGATAATCCAATTCTTTTCCTCTCCATAAGATTGTCTACTCCTACCCACATTTTCTATAAAAGCCTAATGACCTACAGCATTGAACAAAGAGTCATTCTACCTAATCATATCCTTTGCACCAAGCTAGCCTAAATGAATTGAAGTTACTAAGAATTGGAACTGTTTTATGAGTGAGTATGTAACATAATCATGCATTCAGGTTTCACAAAGAAAAAGATAATAATGATGACATATTTTTATTGATAAGTACAGAGAAATTTCTAGCTTTAAAAAGAAAATTAAATGTGAAAAGTACTGCTCTGTTCTCATATGTTTCAACAAGCTACAATTGCCTCCTTAAAGTTGAAAATATGTCAGTCAAATGCTTCCTACCCTAGGGTCCAAAAGAATTGTGCATTTTTCCTATTCTAGCTACAGCCTAATGTATCTCAACCATATGCAACACAATATGCAACACAAGTAAGAAAATGTATTGTCTAGTTCTCATTATTAATCAGTCAATCATGTACATGTCAAACTTCGAAGTTGGGCTTAGACCCATCATTGTACTTTTCCACACCAATACATAGACATGTGCACCAACCACTGAAAAGAGCACAACAGAGAGTGTGACTCACATTAGGGGGACCAATAATAGTCCCAGTCCATGACTGCATGTATATATCATCAGCATCATCCATTCCATAGCTGACAGTTCCATCCCCAATACCCTTTTCACCCCTCTCAAGCTCTTCTAGCAATCTGAAATTCCTGGGCACTGCAAAGACTACACTTGTTAGTCCCTACTTCAGGATTGTAACATAGTTACTCATGAAGTTTGCATTAAGTCTAATCTTTATTAAATGCAGTTTCCCAAAATATGAAAAACAAAACTTTCTTCAAGAGCAAAAGCTAAAACTTAAGAGTAAAAAGAAATGCTTGCACATCATGTTAAAAAACGGAAAGCAGTCAACCAAGAACCCAGAAATAACTAAAGAAATCCTGACAGCACACAATGCATATGCTTTCCACTCTTTAAGTTCACCATTAACAAGGTTTAATCCTAATCATGAATGAGCAGAAAAAAACAGATATAGAGACAAAATTAAAACTTTCCCCTCATAAATAGCATAAAGTTGGCTCCACTGTCTAGAGAGATATGTGCCAATATCGTCACTCAATCAACGAAAAACTTCTACTGTGAAGTCTGCAGTTGAAGGAATAATCCGCCCAACTCTCAAGTTGGTTTCACAATGAAGATTGCACCCAAAGCCTTCCGAGATCAAATGCCACAGCATAACATTAAGTTTCGGGAAGGCATTGATACCAAGAAGAGTTCACTTCTGAAAAGCCAAGAGCGGTGATCCTCAACAGAAAAAAAAGTATGATATTTAGATGGTTGAGGAGGAAATAAAAACATGATTTGGGAACCATAGAAGAAAAATTTTATGGCCAGAAAAAGTGGTCAAGGAAGTTTCCTCGATTTCATTGACAATAGCCTTAGTTTCCTATGCCTTATATATTTACGAAGCTCTAGTGCATCTAGCTTTAGATTCAATAACTTTCTACAGAAGTTGTTCTCACATCGTGACCAGAATCATAGCATTTTTCCTTACCTTCTTTTTGACTCAGCATACATGCTTGCATGTAAACCTTGGGTCTTCACACCTCAAAAGCTAAGGAGTGAAGCAATAAATTTATGGGAGTCCTCGATCACAAAAAGATTCATCTATCCTAATACTAACCTAACAACATTGTCCAATCTCATTGTCATAAGTTTTCTTATACCAACCCAATGTCAACAGAAGTTGAAGCCTCATGCAAAGAGGTTAGCTTGTTCGATTAGAATTATCATATGCATTATTTCTTTTCTTTTCATACACTGTATAATTAATTGACCACATAAACTGCTTTGCTTGTTTGATTGGCATCTTGATCAGTACTTGTTTCATTTGTTTATTGATTGTATACTTGACCAGGATTTCATCTACCAATTAGAAAGAAGTACCAACTACTCCAGATACGTACAGCTACCCTTCATCAACACAACCAGAGATTAGGAAATCACTGATTTCTGGAACAGAAAAAGTTTATTTAAAAGAAATCTGCCTATCTCTTTTTTTTTTGGTCTTTTTGTCTCAATTATTCATCACAAGCTCATCAAAAAGAATTCTTGAAGCCTCTGAAAGCCAGCAGTCATAATAAAATATTTATGTAACTGGTTCTAAACGGCCAACCATCTCTTAAAGCCAACTTAGGATATTATGGTGGATCCTACAGGTCATAATCTTCTTTTAACTTTAACCAAAATCACTGCCATTCCACTACAAGCTAAATCCCATACCTCTGCTTTGAATGAAGTAAAGGTAATAGTCAGTTAAGAGTGCTATCACCTCATTAACGGTTGCACATTTGTCACATATTGCATCCCATATCAACGGTATTGTAAGTTAATCTCAACAAATCCATTAAGAAGTGGATCAATAGTCTTGATGTATGAAATTGGTAAAAGGAAAAAGTAACTTCAGAGCTAGCACAGTTCATATATCATCAACAAAGTGGCCAATTTAGCAAAAATTTCATGCATTATATATAGCTCTCAAATGCTAAAACACATAGGCATGGAAAAAAATAGATGACACCTGGTTAAAGGTTACTGCTTCTTCTATTAGAATGCACTCAATCAACCTCAATATTCATTTTTTGAAACAAGGTACACTCCACAACGTAGCCAGATCTAATTAGTTATAATATATTACAATGGCTCTGTTACAGCTACAAGTATAAATAACTTAGACTCTTCCATTTATTCTTAAAATATCTAATTTTTTTTTTCAGACATATGGATACAAACTCATAATCATACATATTTCTAATATTTAAGCCCATCTGACATCAGCAATAAACCCCATTAAAACAACAAAAATCTTACAAAAAATTTTCACTGGAAAAGCCCGTAAAATATTCACCTTGAATATCAATCTAAGCACGACAAAATCCATTCTCAAGCATTTGAAAACAGGAACAAGAAACAAACAAAGAACCCTAAATATCAAAGTTAAAACCCTATTTTGTACCAAATCAAAGGATTATCAGAAAAAAAAGACAAATCCCATATACAATATAACCCTCAAAGCTCCAACGAAAAAGGAATGATAGAAAAAAGATGGATACTAAAAAGTGGGAAATTAGAGAACACATGAGAGAAATCTAGGGCTTTGGAAATCCAAAACTTACCGAGCACCCTCGATCCTTCCGAACCCATGTCTTCTTTTGATCGTTTCAATTCAAAGAAAAAAAATACAGTTATAGGTTTCTCCGATTGAAAACAGAGAACCCAAAAAAGGCAGAAGGAAAAGAAAGTAGAAGACAGAGAAAGAGGAAATGTTAGAGACAGTTTAAAGTCCGAAACCAACAACCACTGTTCACAACTCTGAATGGTCTACTACCACTACGGTGATGCACCGAGGTATGGTATGGTAAGTGTAAGGGAGGATAAAATAAAAAGGGCGAAAGTGGGAAATGATTGCCTGATCATTTTTCAACTGCCCATCTTCTTTCTTTACATCTTCCTATATTCCTTAATCACACTATCATTTTTTTTTTTTTTATTGAATACTTCTTTTTTTCTAAAACAACCTCTTACACGTTTTTTTTTTTTTTTTTCATTTTCATTTTCTGTTAAGGTTAGAGAGGTAAATTCCAGATTGAGATGGAGGAAAAAGAAAGACCTGAATTGATGATAAATTATTTGATACAGTATTAGAATTAAAAAACTGACATTTTTTAAATTAATTTTTAATTTTTTTATTTTTTAGTTAAATTGTTTCATTATTAATATATTTGATAATTTTTTTGGAATATTTTTATTGTATTTTTTGAATTGTCAATTGTGTATGTAAGAACGGACATTTAAGCTTTTTGTTTTTAATTTTTTTAATATAAATTGATTAATTGAATAGTGTAACTTGAAGCACAATTTTTTTAAAAAAAATATTAAATACTAAAAACTTAAAAAATTTTAGAATTTAAAATGAAAATTTTTTTTTTTTATCAATTAGCATTGAGGGTCGAACTTGACTAATTCCAAACGTGACAAATCTTGTCCAAGGCTCGATCCGATTAGGGCCGGGCCTAATCAACTAGACTTTTAGGCCAATCTATTTCACACCAAAATTAAACTTGTATGAGTAAGCATTGAACAAGGGTTTTTAACCTCAGACTCGATCAGGCTCAAGCTATTATATATTGAATTAACATTTTTTCATTTAATTTTATTTTAAAATATATTTTAATATTTTAATAAATATTTTAAAAAATAAAGTTTATGAGGTCTGATAAACCGAATCAAACCTTGGACATAGCATTCAAAAAGCCAACCAAACTTGATCCAATCTAATTTATGGATAAATTTAACTAAAATGATGCTAATATATATATATATATGTAGAGTTAGATGATTATCTTAACACATTATTCACTATCAAATTAGAACATTGGGGCCCTTAAAGGAACGCCTTTTCTGATTTGCCTTAGCCTTGGCTCTTTGGTTAACGGTAGCCGAACATATGCTGCTTCATCTTCATCTTTGAGACAATGCATGAGTTTGTTGCTTTCTTCTCTGTGTTCATCTCCGTATATGTCTAAAACCTGTCAAGAAATATATTGATTGTAAAACTCGTAAAAAAAAGAAAGCTCAAAAATGATCTGCTGGATCAAAAAGAAAAGAAACTGACCTTGCATGCTATACTGCAATAGAGTGAATTATCTTGCAGACTTTTGTCACAAATGGTACAACTATAATCCCTTGAATAATTACTTTGTTGTTGTTGTTGCTGATGATGATGATGAGTCGTTCTTTGCTTCAAGAATAGCACTTTGGCTTTATTTGTATGATAAGCCTGCCAACCATCAAATAACATTTCTGTATATAATCAATGTGATCTAACATTCATGATATATAGAGATAGGCAATACTCTTAATTAGGGTCCATTTGGAAGCTCAATTGTAGGGCTCTCGCCGTATTAGAGGATGCGTTTTATGGTTGGATCCTTAATCCTGTGTGGCAAGGTGAGAACCCTCTAATTAGGCTTCAAAGTGGACTATTATTTAATTTGCTTATCCTAAGCCATGTAAAATGTCATATAGAGGAATTAATGACTTAATGAACCAAATGCCTGTAAATAAATTTAAAGAGAAAAAGGTCACTCGCAAATTGAAGGATGTAATTATGGGAAATTTAGATGATATTGATATGTTTCATCAATGTATCAACATCATATTTGAGTGATTAATCAAAAACTGTAATAGGATGAAATTGCGTGGTCCAAGGTATGCATGCAAATGTAATGGTGGATATGATGAGATATTTAAGAATTTTGTTTCTCACAACAATTGACATATATCATTGATGATCATAATAAAATGTTCCCATGTATGGGAATGCATCGAAATATATGGATCTTAAATGTTAGAAGATTTCGAATTCAAATTTTACGTTGAAAAAAATATTATAAGATGAAAGAGAATTAGCTATCATAACACAATCAATTATCATATTTTAAAATTAAAAAAAAAACTGATTATGAATAAGGCTTCGCGGATACAATTTTATTTAGAAGATCTTGACGATAGCTACAAGATTAACAACTACATAAAATTAGAAGGATTCTATTTTATTTTTATAACCCAAAGGCACAATTTAATTGAATATACACCGTCCAAATTAAGCTGATTAAAAGCACGCATGTGACACACAATCATTTATTGTAAACTGAATTAATTTAATAATAAATTTTTAATCTAAAAGAACACTTTCACTGTGAGAGCGTCCCAAGTATTCGGACGGTAGGTGAATCATTAATATCCTCAACTTAATATCTGAATTCTGGTTATTGCATAATCTAACATGGTCCCCCTCATTAAATAACTATATATTGATGAAGAATGACTAAGGCCAACTGATCAAGTGAGTGTACTCATGTCTACCATATCACCCATTTTAAGAATTCATGCATGATTGTTAATTGTTATATATATTAGCAAAGCAAAGATTATTTGATTAAAAATGAACAAATAATTAATGAAATTTTAAGACATTATAATCGACCATATATAATATTGTTTCATTGAAGAAAACATTCCATTATTTAAAATAAATCGAATTTTAATTCTTAATAATTCGAAGTTAATATTCTTTTTTTTTTTTTTTATGTTAAGACACTTTTTACCATTTGTTTTCAAACACAGAAAGCAAATTATAGAAATATAGTAGTAATCACGCCACGTAAGATTCAACATATCAGAATATGTTCATAAAGAGTGCTGCCATGAAAAATTCATCTTTTAACATAAAAGAAAAGAAAATAAATTGACATGAAAATGATTGATTAAAGTAGCAAAATTAGGGTAAAGACATTAATCTGACCTGGATGCCAGAACAATTGAAGAGCTTACACAAATCTTGTCGATTGATCACGTCACTGTAGATGTATCTCCGAATCTTCAATATATCATATACACAATTAATGGTTAATTAGTCGAAAATTCACCTTGTTTAATAAATTTGAATTAATTTGTTTTTCAACTAATTAATTATTAATTAATTAAACATGATGATGAGAAAGAGAAGAAGAGAACACCTTAACGTGCTTGTGAATAGCATGAGAAGGAAGGCAATGAGAGCAAAAAGACTGAAGACAGTCGATGCAAAACCGGTCTAACTCGTTCTTCTTTGCGTTTGGATGACTAACGCAATTCCTAAAGAATATGGTGTTATACATTACAATCACCCATGGCGGCACCACTGCAAAACTCTTCTGCAAAAATAACCAAAACCAAATTCTCAGATAATACTGTTTCATGAATTTTCTTGAAAAGAAAAACCATGAAATCCTTGAAGAAAAAATGTATGAAAATGATGTCAAGAAGGAAAAGAAGAGAGAAAAAAAAAGAAAGAAATGAAGAAAGGACAGAGGACTATATTTACTTGTTGAGTTTTTGATGGATGCAATCTTTTGATGCTCAAGGTCTTTCCCATGGTGTTTGTTTTTGTTTTTGTTTTCTTTTTTTAGTTTTCCAAGCAGAATCTCACGTATTTTTCTTTGCCGTCTCTATCATCGACATATCAGCCTATAAATAGCTGCTTTGGCTTTCCCTTGGGTGTAGCTTCGTACACAAACTTTATTAGATTTTCAATGAGACTTGTTCATGTCAGTATTTCATTTTGGACAAAAAAAAAAAAAAAAAAAACTTCACAGCTTCAATACTTAAATCAAATTATAAATTGGATCGACTAATTCAGTTACCTTCTTTAAGTTATAAAAAAAGAAAGAAAGAAAGAAAGAAAGAAAGAGAGTAGAAGTAGCCTACTTGCCAATCTCTAGTTCAATTACCTACCTCATTAATATTTCTAAATTCGAATCCACAAACTTTGATTTTCTTCCAAAGAAGTAAATACTTCCCACACCATAAATGTTGGTTAAATAAAATTATCTTGATAAATTATTAAATATATATATACCCTTCCAAACGTATCAATAATCTTAAAACTTGACAATCAAAGTCAATACATAGTTAAAAATTAGCATGTGAGCATGTGGGTAGTTACTTTAATTGGATCTTGATAAAACCGACATGAATAGAAATGCTTTTATCATTAGATTAAATATTCAAAAATTGTATTATAATTTCCTAATAATAATTATCATGTCAAATTAATGGAAAGTACATATACATTCAATTTTGTGTCACGCATCTTGTTTTTTCGAATAGGTGACGGAAAAGATTAATATTAATTTTTATATTATTTTATATGTGAGAATTAATTAATTAAATTGGCTCTAAAATATGTAAAATTTTCAAGGCAACTGCATATTCATTTATTCATTTACTTGTGTGAATTATCAAATTAAAAAATTCACAAGAGTACAGTGGGATTAAATTCAAAATTTTGAACCTTTTAGGTCAAGCCTTGATTAAAAATCTATCTATATATTGATGTTACCAAGGCCAGTTTGTTGCCTGTCGCAATACATACAGGGAAGGGAAAAAAAAAAAAAGGAGTTTGAGAGCCCACTTTCAGCATTGTCCATGCTATATCGGTGTGTTTACTTAAATGAAAGATAAGGGTTTCTTGTATTATCCCTTCAAACTCTCTAGATTCTTTAAATTCGTAAACTTTTACATTAATAGCAACAACCTGCAGTCATTTACTCTCTACACCAAAACGACATTAAACTTTCCATCAGATATAGCATTCTTTCATCACTCCATTTATAATTTTCATTTCCCCTTTTTCTGCTTTTGTTGTGTACATAATTCCAGTTACATGAATTTTACACCTACCTCACCTAACGGTCCTAACCCATCTATAAGGCAGATTTATTTATATGTCTATTTCTGGCTAATTAAAATCAACTCCAAGAAGGAATAATACTTGTTCTAATAAGCTTTAATTCTCTCTTATTTTTGGTCCCAAGGGGTGTGCTTATTGTTTTTACTATGGCAGAGGTGTTGGGTAGGGCTTATTTATTGTTGTTTTTCTCTTAATGCATATAATACAATGGTTCAAGGTTTAGGATTTAAGATTTTAAATTTGAATTACCTTACTTTGGTATGCGAAATCTT